CCATGGAAATTCCATCTTTATGAAGAAGGAACATCGCCGGTGGACATGGGAATCGCCCAACGGAACGACCCACGCGGAGATCGACCACATTCTCACCAACCGAAGGTGGAGCTTGCTCGATGTCTCTGTAGTTCCATCCTTCTGTAGTGGCTCCGATCACCGCCTCCTTCGAGCGAAGATACGACTCAGCCGAAGGCTGGAAAAGAAAGTCTGTCATAGTGCCGCGAGAAGGAAGGAAGTCGTTTATGACGGTAACAGGCTGGAAGAGCTCATATCAAGTTGTGACTGGCCCACCGAGGAGGACCCAACGTACGACTACGACCGGCTTCTGAAAGGATTGCGAGCCTGCGGAGAATGCGCCTCAGTGACTTCTGAGAAGAACTTGGACCGCATCTCGAAGACCACCAAGGAATTGCTCGAAAGAAGAAGATCATTGAGGCAGGATCCGAATGCAACTCATCTCGAGCGACTGATTGCCAACACCAGTTGCAGAACAGCTTTGCAAGAGGATCTCAGGAAGTACAGGCAAGCCAAGATACTCGAAGCAGCAGAAAGAAGACGAAGTCTCAAGAAGTGCCGAAGGGACCTCTGCGAATATCACGTACCGCTGGCTGCACTACTGAACGAAGACGGGACTCCGACTTCTTCCCGATACAAGATGGAATCTATCGCGAAGAACTTCTACACCAACCTCTTCCGCTCATCAACACCCGTGCAGATGCCCGTTGTTCCCACTGGAGAAGTACCACCACGAATTCTACCTGCTGAAGTGCGTATCGCGATACAGACCATGAAGACGTCCACGGCTCCAGGACCAGATCATCTTTCCGTCGAACTTCTGCGAGCCGGAGGACACCGTCTACACGAGATTCTAGCGTCGCATTTGACATCTTACCTTCAGAAGGAGAAGATTCCCGACCAGTGGAGAACGTCAAGAACCGTCCTTCTCTTCAAGAAGGGTGAACGGGAGGATCTTCGGAACTATCGTCCAATATGCTTGCTGAGTGTGCTGTACAAGCTTTTCACGAAGATTATCCTCGCTCGCATATCAAGGACACTGGATGAAGCCCAACCCCAAGAACAAGCTGGATTTCGCAAAGGATTCAGCTGCATGGACCACATCCAGACCGTTTCGAGGGTCATAGAAGTCTGCCGGGAGTACCGACTGCCTCTCGTCCTAACCTTTGTCGACTACGAGAAAGCCTTCGACAGCGTCGAAACCAACGCCATCCTGTCTGCGCTAGTCGATCAAGGAGTGGACCCAGCTTACGTGAGGACGTTAGCCGACTGCTACAAGGACTGTACAACGACGATGCAGCTATTCCATCGCCCCCTGACCATACCAATCGGGAAGGGGGTCCGACAAGGCGACACAATCTCGCCGAAGCTGTTCACCGCGGCCTTGCAGTGGGTGATGAAGTCACTGGACTGGGACGAGAGAGGCATACGAGTTGATGGGAGATTCCTGTCCAACCTTCGTTTTGCGGACGACATCGTTCTCTTCTCGAGCAGTATCACCGAAGCAAAGACGATGCTGAAGGAACTAAATGAAGTAGGGAAGAAGATCGGACTGCGAATAAATCGGAAGAAGACTCAGTTCATGAAGAACGCCCTTTGCGAAGATGCAGAAATGGAATTGGAAGGCACCCCGATTATGGAGACGTCTTCCTACGTGTATCTCGGACGTTCGATGAACATGGAGAACGACTTGAGGGAAGAACTCAACAGGAGAAGAAGAGCAGCCTGGGCCGCCTTCGGGCCCCTGAAGGAAGCCACCGACCAACTGACGGACCCGGAGCTTCGTGCCCGCCTGTTCGACTCAACCGTTCTCCCGGCGCTCTGTTACGCAGCTGAGACTTGGGCCGACACTGTAGCCACGTCGAAAGCTCTACGGACCACCCACAGAGCGCTCGAGCGCAGTCTTCTGAAGATGACCCGACGCAAGCAACATCTAGTCGGACTTCGCAGCACGGATATGAGAAGAATGTCCCGTCTTCGTGACCCAGCGGAATACGTCGCGAAAGCCAAACACCGATGGGCCGGTCACATAATGAGAAGAACAGACGACAGATGGACACTAAGAACATCGGAGTGGATTCCTCGCGAAGCCAAACGTCCCCGAGGAAGAACTCCAACGAGATGGGCAGACGTGTTCGTGGAACGGATGGACCAGCTGAGAAATCAGCTGGATACGATTTTTGCACCTGGAACTCGTGGACGCAGCCACCGACGTCAGCCAAGAAGATCGTGGATGTCAGAAGCGAGGGACAGGGAAAAATGGAAACTTCTGAGCTGGGGCCCGCACGTCACGTGAAGCCGGGCCATCTAAGTATCTAAGTAAGTTAGAAGGAGAATGAAATGCTGTATCGAATCCTCCTGAGATCTCTCGAAAATCTTGATTCCATGACATGTGGCGTTCATTTGAAAAATGCGACATTACTTTCGGAACGACCTAATATATGCGTGAACGAGTTAGATCTGTAGGATTTTTTTGAACGAAGATATAAAAAATTTTCGGTTTCTTGGGCATTGAAAACTTCTTACAATTAGATTTTGGTTTAGAACTCGAGATGGACCAAAGCTTGTGCAAAAGCATAAACGACATCTTATAGAGCTTGCTTTGCTCCATCGAATGTTGTCCTGATGTCTATTTACAATAAGAAGTGTGTGACTTATTATAGCGAAAACTCGAAAATGAAAAGACTCATGGGACAACCTAATAGAACCCACGTTTCTACCATGATCAATCAAAAAATTTTCAAAACTCATTTTGCACTGGATTGAGTCAAGTACAATGCGATGATTTTTTGGACATCTTCAAATGGCCACACTATTCTTCAAGATAATTTTTCCGGAAGTCTTTAACTTTTGCGAAGTCTTGTTGTATACAAACGCATGAAACATCAACAAATTTTCGGATGTTGGAAGATTCAAATATTAACTATGTTTCGACACTAATTCTACAAAGCAAACGAGTGTTTCCCGCTTCAAAACATGAAATTTCGGATTTCAAGGTTAGGAGCGCTTCATCAAAAACATCTGCGATAATTTTATCCCCGGAGTCTATACGAATCGAAATAAAATGTGAATTCAGAAGGAGGAGAAGAACCCGCACCAGACGACCTTTGACGTTCTAGTCGCTCATGTTTGGTAGCACAAAAACGATTTGGAATTGAAAGCCAGGTACAAAAGCTGAAAAGCGCTTTGCATTGCACATTGTTCTATCCATCTGTCAAAAGAACTCTTCCACAGTATGAAATGTAAAAGAAAAATTGCAAACTTGGACGTGGTAAGAGCTAGAGTTCGATTCCATCGAGACAGTTTCTAAGCTCTTGCCTTTCTTTATTCCCACATTTTTGTGATAATCAAAAAACGGAAAACTTTTGGAACGACCTTATTTAGTAAATGAAGAAACGGAACATCATGAATTCAGGACTATTAGCGGTTTTCCGAACATCGCAAAATTTTTAACAAAGAAAACCATTAAGATCAGTCTATTGAGTGCGACTAAAGTTACCGATTCATATTTTCGTACAGCAATCTTCACTGCTTTCTATAATCTACAATTATTAGCAGCATGCGCACCAAATCGATCATATAGGCATGCCAAAAAATTATCAAAGAATCTCAGAAGGTGCATTAGATCCCGAATAGCAAAGCGCATTAGAAGAGGAGAACAAAGGAATCAGATAACAGCACCATTAGCTGCTCAACAATGCAAGTTTTTCGAGAGTAGTTCTGGACTAATGGACTGATATTATAGTTTGCTACTTGAGCACTTGCTTAGCGCAGAAAATGATTGATTTGCAGTTATTCGCTGTCATTCATGATTCTTGGGAAGACGTTGCGAGGTTCAATCTTCCAGATAGATAGTTGCTGAGGATATAGAGCTTCAGCAACGAAGGTATTAGGTCGCCTCATAATTTTTTTCTTTACCATCATCACCTTTCTACCCTTTCCCCTATTTAGGCGATAGTTACCATTTGACAGAGCAAAGCAAGCTCTACAAGATGGCTATCAAGCGTCCGCTTAAGTCGTATTCCATAGATATGAAGCTGAAATCTGATATTTGAAAACAAAATGAGGTTCCAAAAATCGTATTTCCCCTAAACATTTGAAAAATTTCCTACTTACCTCAAACATGTATCTGGCACATTAGACATTCAACTATACACTTGTCGAGTTTCTTCCATTATTGGAAATGAAAAAAAATGAGGAGAGCACAATGGCAAACTTCCGCCCCTCCCCTAGCGATCCTAGTTTCCTCTCACACAATTACACAGGGTGCACCTTCAGAAGTTTTTATCCCTGTGGTGTCATGATTGTCAGGAAATGCTGAGGGATTAAAATAGGATAGAAAATTACGAAATCCAATAGCTACAGAGAGGCAATGCTCGAATATCTATTCAGCACTTCTTCAGTATGAGAGGGACACTTAGTAGGACTTTAAATACATCTATGTATAAAATTACCCAAAGCAGGTCCCAGGTAAACAGTGTGCTTACAGTGAAAAATCATATGAAGGAGATCAAGGGGCTAATGAAATTTAGTCTCAGTGAGCGGACTATCTGAATGCTTTGGCGCAAATGCACGGGTTTTTCTTCACAGAGAACAAGAGTCAGAGAAAAGAATACCATCACGGCATTTATAACATTTGCTCCCGAATATTCTCGGTGTGCAAGTCATGACAGTACATTTCAAAGTAACATCATACATATGTGCACTTTTTTGATGCCATTTGCTTATGGTATGGTACGAAACTTACCTTGGGAACAGAACATATGACGTCCGAAGCGCTAGAGATAATAAGAACGTTAAATCAACTTTCAGTCTCTATATTGTGGCCTCGACAGTACAGTGAGATAATGGTCCCACTACCTATATAAATCAGTTTATTTAGTCCAAAATTAAAAAACATTTGTGATTTTCAGTACCTCTTGCCTTGCGAGCATGAAAATGTTTTATTACTTGGGTCACGCACGCGTATTACAACGATAGTTTACTCGAACGCATCCTGAATACTATTTGTACAATATTTACAACGATGACATCGTCTACAATGTCCAATCTGCTATGCCTCTGCACCACGACCGTAGAAGACCCATATGCTAATCTACTCTCTGTAGGCGTGAGTTCCCTTCATCTTCCCGGTGCTAGCTCCTCCGGATTCTGCATCTCCCTGCAAAAGGAAATCTATGAAAATGAGTAGATCAAGAATGATATTGTAATCGAACCAACTCATCCGCCGTTCCTTTGCCTCGACCTCGCCTTGTATCCGGAAATGCCTCAGCCTCAGCAGTTCTCGGTCGACCAACCTGGAGGAGAAGCTTTGACATCATGATAATTATCAGATTCTTAGTAGCTTACATTTCCACCCGGATATTTTCCATGAACCTTATCGGTTTGGTTGGTCCCCATGTCTGCCACCTAAATTTTGAAAATAAGATCACCGTGAACCCAATATTGCGAAATGGAGTAATGCTCCACTATGATCAATTATTTGACAAACCTTCTCATAACCGGCTTTAACCGTGTCCTTGACTGCTTTGCCGGCCTCGTCCAATTTTTCTTTGGCAGCTTCGGCCATTTCCTTAGCCTTGTCCCCGGCATCCTTGATTACGCCATACTGCGGACCTGCTGTGTGGATATTTCGCGCTTCTGCACAGGCCAATAACCTTCTGCTGCTCTGGAGAAGTGCAATGCTTCTGTAGCTCATCTTGATTTCTCTGGAAAGCAAAGGAATCCTACACCAGCATGGTGGCCGGATAATACATGAAAGAGAGTGTGAAAGCAGCGAATGGAAATGACGAAAATCTAAAATATTCATGTTGTTCATTTTTCTTCTTCTACTGGACGGAAATTTCAAAAAGGTTAAACCTTTCGTGGAAGTAATTGTGTTTAGTTGAAGCTAAGTGACATGAAACCATGAACCAGTTTGGAAAACCAAATACGATATACACGTCGAGCAACTTTTACTTTCAATTAATAATTGAATTGGCCATTTTTATTGTTTTAAAGCGGCACCTAATGCCTATGCTTATGTTGGAAAGCATTTCATCAAGTTGCCAAGATTCATCGCTAGAACTGATTCATGGTATAGCTCCAAGGATATGCCACTGGTTCGAAAAACACAAATATGAAATTTTGTTGAGCGTGTAATATAAGCGAATGAAAATTTATCACACAACTATCCATTTCGGAGAGCTATGCAATTAGAACAGGAAGTACTTATACAGTACACGAGCTCATTCAAAACAATGTGAGAGATTCGCTAGCTTTCAGGATTGAACAATGCCGCTGAAACTCAGGAAAGTTGCCAATTTTATCGTACTGTAAACTGCAAGATGCAGCTTGCAAAGTGACTGCGAGATTGAAAAATTTGCAAATTTGCACGTTCTGGAATTTATCTAATGAGACTAAACATAGGACAAAGCTCGAAAAATCGACTATAAATATGTGCACCGCCTTCTGATCGATGGTGCCCGAAGCAACGGAGAGATCAAATCGAGCGACACCGCAGCTGCACGTGTGGTCTTGCTTGTTTACCACTAGAGGCACTTGTTTTGCTGCGCAGCGGAGGATCGATGCGTGCTAACCAGAGATCAACGGCTTGTTTACTATTTCAGCACGACTCAAACTGATAGAATCGATAGAGCGCAAACCTTGAGCCGTTCGTTACGTAGAGGAAACACTTTGGATTAAATAATTAGAGCCGCAGATTCATGGCCAAAATTAAGTTCTGTTACGCCTTCTTCTTCCTCTGCAAAACCAAAAAATTCTTTAGCAAAAGCTCATACTTGGCATTTAGAAATAGGCACATAGGGCATTTGCATTAATTTCACCATCATGGGCAGGAGTTACGGAAAATATGAAGGCAACTTTGCAACGGCGACTTAATTTTCAATTTACTTTCCAAATATCATTTCACTCTTTTCTTCACCTTTTGAGAACATGATTTCCGTGAACATTAGAAAGCTCTTCAATATCGTAAGTGAGGAAATACCTCATAAAATATAAAAACTGATTTTTTAAATGTGAGACGTGCATATATCGAAAAGCTAGAACCGTTCAGATAATTTAAAAATGAGGAAAAAATTTCAAGGGCAGCAAATTTTGTACGACTTAATTTTTGGAAAACGAATTTGGGTAGGTAAGACCTCAGCACTCGTACCTCCTTCTCTGAGGGTGAAAACTTAGGAGCGGTAGTTATTGAAAAATCACTAACAGTTCTCTTCAAATTTTTCCATTTGGGTTGCATTCAATTCACGAAGAAAAACATAGGTAATTATTTGGTTAGTCGTAATTTTGTTATAGACAACTCGTTCGTTCGGAGCAAAAATCTCTATATAAGGTACAAAGATTGCAAATAGGCCCAATGATAAACATTTCATACCACGAGCGAAAAAAGAAAGAAAAACAATTGAGTGAAGTTTTTAGATAGTATATTAAATTCTATTTGATTGGGAAAAACAATAACTCATGAATCCGCGTGGGATCTGTGCGACAGTGACTATCTCGCCATGTAACTTTTATTTCCACTTCTGTTTGATCTACATTTAGAAAATATACACACTATTATATACTATTCGCTTACCAGTACGACTGACATCTTTAAGATCACAAATATTTGATTACAATTAGTCATGGCAAGAAATATCGAGCCACTAGCTACTTTACTATTACGTCTAAGGTACACTACAGACAGAATTTACATCGTACATATCTACACATGTATATTACTCGATCACAGTGAGAACCTCCTCAATAAATAGAGAAAATACAACATTTTTAAAGCTACGACGCTTAACGGAGCCAATCTCACTCCCGGTAGTCGGAGCTGTCTTTCATATTGCGTGACCCAGTACCACCACATTCCGCATCTCCCTACATCATCGAAATTTAGGGCGTAATTTGAAAAATAAACAAAAAAACCTACCAATTCGTCGACGGCTCCTCTGCCGCGGCCTATTCTAGTCTTCTCATGGGGCTCATACTCTTGTCCCTTTGGACGGCCCACCTACGAAAAAAGCATTAGAGTTTTTTTGAAAAGTCAAAGAATGGTATGACTTACGTTCCCACCGGGATAATCGCCATAAAGGACATGCGTTCTGTCGTTTCCTATTTTGTTCACCTATAAACATGAAACCTTGGGCATATCTAGTAACAGCATAAAAACAAGAACAATGTTTACGGTATGGATACATAAGTGATAGAAAATCTGTGCAAAGCTTAGAAGAGAAATTATTATGCCGATTTATGGCAGACACGCACCTGCTCCATTATTTTCCCGACGAGGCCTGTACTTGTGTGTTTCTCTCTGTGTACGGATTCCTCATTCGGAACCGGAACGTGAACAGCACGAACCTCTGCGAAAGCCGTCAGCCTTCTGGTACCGTGGAGAAGTCCTGCAGCTCTGTTCATCCTTGTGTAACTTCCACTGGAAAAGGGTTCACGTGAAAAAAACTATTTCGAAATGCCTATATAAATTAAAGGCACGGAGAAAGCGATAAAGAAATCGTTGGCTATGGCGCTGATGCACATCGACTGCACGGAAGTGCGAGGCGGCGTTCTGTTTACCAGACATTCGTAGCTGGCAACGTCTACTTCGACGGCGTTCTAACGACGAAGTTCACACGATCTTTGTCGAGGTGCGTGCAGTGCATACAGGATTTCATTAGAATACTTGGAACAGCTTTTCCAAGCTCGTGACGGGATAGTGTCTGACTACGGGTACTGTGTTGACAAGAGCTGTTGAGCTAAATAATTGCGGTTGAGAGTATCCAGCTGGAGTTCTTTGCTGGTAGGATACCGAGTTGAATAGTTTCAGTATATTCTAAAAGGGATGCTGATGGCTTCTCTTATGAGTTCTCCGAGTTCGGAAAGGGAAATTTTTCCAATCTCTATAATTGTGCCATTGAAGCTCCAGGGTCCCAATAATCTTCATCAGGAAGTGAACGAAATAATAGAAAGTGTATACTGATAGAGGAATACTGTAGTCAATCAAGAGACAGAATGTTGTCAACGAATATACACATACGCCACATACACAAACTTTCATTGGTTTTAAAAAATAATGAAGTTCAAAGTTCTCATAATTCCACAAAATTCAACACCTTTTGATATAGACAAATAGTGAAACACTGTGCGAATTGACATTTCCGCTGTTCATTTGGGAATGCTTGTTCACGAATAAGAAAGTTCTTTCCGTCTCAAAGGAAGCTCATCATTTTGAACAGAAATCAACATCTTTTCAGATTAAGAAATTATACTGGAGAAAAAAAAACTCATGATGTCGGTACATAGTCTCTTCCCAAAATTTTTATGGTGATATTGTAACTGATGACCTTAGCATTATGCTGGTATATAAATTTCTACTCACTGTTTAGCCTCTTTAACGAGCTATAGAGATTTCTCATTCATAGACTATCTCGGAGGAGAAAGACGAACTGTAACAAATTATTTGAACAGCAACTTTCCAGTTGTGATGGGCTATTGTATTGGGTTGTTTCAAAAGTTCTACCCGTTTTCGAACTTTGACTTTGATTCACCGTAACTCTTCTCACAAATAATCTTTGCAATTGCTATAAACTGTATTACAATCTGCAAATCTTCGGCTATTCTGCGCACTCTTTAAGATTATTGCAGTAACAGTGGAGAAGATTTTATAAGCGAAAATCGAGGAACATCTCCTTGTAGAAACCTTCACTTTGCAAAAGCATAACTTGATTTGGAATATAGCTGAGTTGCACGAGCACTGCTCACAGTGTAGCCTATAGTTGACTGAGCAGTACCGCTAACTTTGGATTTCATCAAACTCTTTCATAAAAATTTTGTGCTGTAAAATCCGAAAGGACCCACTTATTTTGCTCTTTCTGAAGCGGCAAAACATGCAATTTTTGACATTTTTGATTTTATTCGCCATTGACAAACCAGGAAATCTTTTCGTTCTTCTAGTTGTTCTAGCTCTAATCTTACTATATAGAGTGAAAGGTACGCGATTGCAATATTTTATGATTTTTATGCAACTTGAAGGGACCATAAAGACAGGTTATGTTTGATCTAAAAATTTGTAGGTTCAAAATTTTTCTGAAATCATATCTCGATAAGCGTTCAAAAGTCTCCAGTAAACTTTATGTATGTTTTAAAAGAAATTTTTTCTTTTGGCTGTAGATTTCACCACGATAGAGCAAAGACGAAAATTTTCACATTTGTTTCGCTGTCTTTTCAAAGTACGCAATCACACAGCGAACAAAGATTTCTGAAAACGAAAATATGCCTGAAAAACTAGAAGAAAAGAGCTTTTGAAGATAGATAAAGATATAAGCATTGTTTATGAAAAATGATTTCTTCCTCCAAAGTCGGCTGTTTAAAAAAAGGTATCGAAAACGGGTAGAATTTTTGAAACAACCCAACACCAACAAAAAGTGATGATTTTTCTTCTCCTTCGCTATGGCATATATTGTTGTCAGGAAACTGCAGCTGCATGGGAAGATATCGCTTGGCAGACTAGGTATCAACTAACACCGAGAATTATTGCTGGGATGAGTATTGTTTTCGCATTTCAGCATGCGAAATAATTTTTTGGGAATTTTAATAATTCTAATTCATTCTTAGTGAGTAGACCCACTTCCGCAGAGTTATATGTATAATAGTATGGCTGAAATTGCGGAAAGCCTCCCTTAAGGAGGAAGCGGTGTTGCTATACTTATTTAATAAAAATCGAACCTTCATATAGTAAACAAGTATTTGAAAGTAGCCGAATCAGACACAAGCAATATTGAACAGATGTATCACCATCATCTTGCGTAATCCATCAAGGTTACGGAAGCGATTTGAAGATGATTGATTAGAAGATTTGAAAATTTGATAACCTTTAGTCATAATGAGTAAACCTCTGTGATATTCGTAATCAGGTCACAGTTATAAAATTATTGAATTAAATGAAGGAGATGCCTTGAAAAATTATGAAGATATGCATTTTTTTAGTTGATGCCTTGATCTAGCAACGGCATAAAAACGTGTAAAAATGCATGGAAATATTAGAATCATGCCCATATCCAGGTTGAACTGTATTGGTTGAATTTTCCACATATGATATAGATTCTTACATATTCTTCATTATTGGCAGATTGTTCAACTGTTCCACAATTCTCCTCTCAAATTATTCTATCTTTGCCCTTCTGGGTCAACTATTCTTCGACACGCTGCGGATCACAAACCAGGAAAAACTTTTATGTACATGAAACACGCTCTGACTGAAGCAATCTCAATTAATATTCTATACAAAAACGACTCTGAGCATAAGAAAATAGTTGTTCACTTGAGTGTGCCAGCTCCTTCAACGACATCCTTCAATTTTTCAGCGGCTTCCTTTTTCTGCAATGAAAAACTTCATCATAATGCCTTATCTATAACGGGCGGAAGTCACAGACCGTATCTTCTGGAACGCCTAGATTTTCTACTTCCTTGATAGCCTCTTTAATGATCGCTTCTTCACGGTCTGGGACCTCCTCTTCAGGTTTAAACACCTGAAAGAGACTTGTTAAAGGCGAAACAACAGAGTTTAAGATAGGGTAGGTAAGAAATATTCGATAGATGTACTTATGTACCTTAGTGGTTGGATGCGACCTTTTAGCAGCTTCCATGGCAAGTCTCGCCACTTCTTCTGGCTGAAAATAAGATCAAAAATTAGAAAAAGTTTTTAGGTTTATAGCTATATGAGTGACATCAAGCTTCTCATATATTAGGTCGTCCCGAAAGTATTTTCGCTTTTTTCAAACTATCGCCACGGTCCGCAGAACAAACATCCTTAGAAAATCTTGGAAGCAGTTGATGCAGTTTTTTATGCTCTTTCAAACGGTTATCTTTATATTGCAGTTTAACAAACGAACTCTCAAAAAATTACCAAAAACTGCGACCCACGCTTTTTACCAAGGTCAAGTTTCGCTATTTTTATAAATTCTTGTACTGATTCTCCGAAGAAGCCCAAGTAACCTGCGGATAGAGCAAACAAAATAGGATACAAAACAATTTCCGCCCCTTCCAAATCTTACTTTACAAAATTTTTAGAAATATTTTTTTGATGCTTCAAATTCTATATTTCGTCAACTTAAACCTCATAGAGCATCACTCGGGAAGCAGCTCGGGTGTTATTCGATGCAGCACCTTCTCCTCTTTCAGAGACATGTTTTTTGTTTCTGATTCGTAAACTTTGAAAGGACAAAATCGACAAAATTCATGTTTTTGATGGCTTCCCAAGATGTACCCGAAAAATTCAAAATCTGATATTTCGAACCTGGAGACGCTCATTTGTCTTGTAAAATTAGTAATAAATCTTAATCTATCTTCAAGAGTATCAAAAACTGAGAATTTCTTAGAGTTTGACGAGTCTGTGTCTGGTATGGGTCTGCTAGAATTTGATAGTGTTATTTAAAATTTTGTCAAAAAATTATGGAGAGCTCTGGGAAAGAGGAAGAAATTGTTTTGTGTCCTACTTCGTTTGCTCTATCCGCAGGTCACTCGGGCTTCTTCGGAAATTCAATACAAGAATTTATAAAAATAGCGAAACTTGACCTTGGTAAAAAGCGTGGGTCTCAGTTTTTGGTAATCTTCTGAGAGCTCGTTTGCTGAACTGCAACATATAAAGATAACCATTTGAAAGAGCATAAAAAACTGCATCAATTGCTTCCAAGATCTTCTAAGGATGTCTGATTTGCGGACCGTGGGATTGTTTGAAAAAAGCGAAAATACTTTCGGGACGACCTAATAACATCTGATTCGGTTTCTGCATGTCACAATATTGTCTTTCGAAATTTCACAAAATATCTTTTACTTGCACCGCCAAAGGACTGCCACTAGGCTTCATTAAGACAGATATCTAGAAACTAGACATGAAAAAATGATTAGTGAGGAAACAACCCACATCTTCGAGTTTGGCATCTTTCTTCTTAGTTTCCCCAGATCTGCTCTGTAATGTATGCGATATTATGGATATGCGTAGTAGGATTTTGAAAAAAAAAACTTCTTATATGATAACCATTTAAAAATATAAGACAACACACACAAATTCAAATGAGACAGATAAGCAGAGTCAAATTTGACTGTTTAAGAACGATACAATTGTCTAAAATGCTTGAAAAAGAACAACAGTTGTCAAGATTACAATCTAGAGATACACCTCAGTTTGATCAAAAACATTAGCAGCTACTCACCTTGTCATCGCGATCAGCGTAATTATGGCCAAGCCCTTGATTCTGAAAGTAAAAGCATAAAGAAGAACTCTAGAATGAGAAAGATCTATGCTTACCGCATCTTTTATGGTTTCTGTAGCTGCTTTGGCTGAACTGACGACCTGAAAAGAGGAGATTTCGAAAAATGAGTGGCGGAAAATCAAAAGAAGTTTTTGAAACTAATTCAGAAACAAGGAATTCAGGCAGAGATAAAGAAAAGCAAATCAGCGGCCTTTCGTCATTTTTAAATTTCAGTCGATTAGCCGGACCACCTGTTCCATGTAAACAATTTCTGGCATCTTCAATATTGAGTTGTCCGGAAAAATAATAACGCATCACATGCTACCGCGCGGGGAGGGAGGGGGAGGGGGATAAACAAGCAAAAGTGTGCGGGTCACTATTTGATAAAGCAAAGGAAAGTCTATAAGTTGGCATCCAAGCTTGCGCGCAAACTTTGATCCGCGCGAAGCATGAAGCCAAAATAAAAAAAAATCCCAATTACACGAAAAATTGTATCCCCCCCCCCTTTGAATTTTGAGGGACCTTTGATCTGCTCAGACATGTATTCTCAACATTAAACATTCACGTGTACACTTTGTGGAATTTTTTTGCGATAAATTTGATATTTCTCGAAAAGTAACCTCGTAGAAAGCTGAATAATGATCTTAGGAGGCTTATATTACTCAAGACTGACTTGGCAAACGCATGCCAATGTTTTTCTTTCTCGATTTCTAGCCAAGGAAAAAATACGAGACTGTGCAAAAGAGTGTCTGATGTAAAGGTCTATGCGTGAGCAAGTTGAGGGTCCCTAGGATTTTTTGTGCGGAGATACGATTTTTTCAATTTTTAGGCATTGAGATTGTTCTCAAATCTGGCATCAAACTCCAAATCAAACTGGCGTATGATTAAACATCATCTTGTAGAGGCTCGCCACTTACTTTCTTTGGCGATTACCCTGCCAATTTCATGATTGCGCATAATGCTACATTATTTTCCGGAAAACTAATATTTCCTATACCTGAATATATAATAAGAAATATTATAAGTAATTCTTACCTTATCGATAACTTTTTTGAGCTTGCCCGAATTGTCATCTTCTCTGGCACAACATCGAAGACCAGAGTGAATATTACGTACGTCAGGAGCATTGAATCCTCTTATATTTCGAAGAAGTGCGGCAGTTCTGTAGCTTATTCTTGATGCCATTCCTGGAACTTATGAGGCTAGAATTATGAATGTTCGCATATCACATAAGCACGAAGTATTGATGGAAAAAATGTTGTGGCACATCGACTGCCGGAATTGCGCGGCGTTTTGTTTACCAGAGAGACATTCGTAACTCAGGGACGTTTACTACTACTGCAAGGGCGTTGCCAACGAAGTCCGCTCGATCCAGTCCGCTAATTCGAATGTCATGACTATGTCGTGAGGTCTTGCTATAAGATTTGTCACACTAGAAAGGGGCCATCATAACTTTTCTGAAAAATTTGTCCCAATTTCAAATCACGAGGGGGGGGGGGGGGTGTAGGTTTTAAACCAGTTCTAAACCTATTAACCAGTGTTAATACAAGGCAGGTACTGCCTTGTATTAACACTGGTTTTGCAAAATTCCAAAAAGTCTAGTGGAAGCGGAGGATTGGAATGAATCATGAAGCCTGTAAGGGTGAAATTCCCTTCCTCATATATGCCAAATATAGGAACTTGCCTCAATTTCTACGTTTAACGAAGAAGAATGAAGTACGACAGTATGTTACGACCCTACGCAGCTTCACCGCTCTCTCCGTTTTCGAGCGACTGTGAAATGCCAAAGAGACATTAAAAAATTGTCGCAGTCCGATTGGGAGCGGGAGCTTCTAGTGAGGCTGTATTGGAATTTTTCAATAATTTTTTCCCGATTCGTTTCGCTTACTTCTTACATTACGTAACATTATACTATCACATATCATTTCTGTCCTTACGTATAGACATTTTGCAGCGTAAATCACCAGCAAGCATTAGGTATTCTTGAAGGGACTTACTCATCTGCCTGCTGAATCCACGGCATAAAACAAAAGGAGAATTTCCACATTTGTTTTACTGTCTTTTCAAGGTATGCTATGAAAACGAAAATATTCATAGATCAGAGAACACGGCCTTTTGAAGGTTTTTAGCAACTTGATGAATAATAGTTTTTCCCCCACCAAATCATCGTTTGAAAAGAGTTATAAGAAACGGGGTACAACTCTAGAAACGACTAAAATACATAGTGGGTAGACGTAGCAATTTCGGGTCTGTGTCAAGAACATCTGATCAGTATCTGCTACCGTGCTCTGTGATTACTGAAAGCAACCAAATAAATAAATTCAATCCATGGAGGATTCTGTCGCACAGCTGCTCACATTCGTTCGCGACGGTCTCATGTCACACTATGCAAGCTGATCAACCAATCAGTTTTGGTTGAAAACAATACACCTTGCCATGTTGTGAGACTCACAAGGGAAACATAGTCGAAGTGGCCTCTTCAGATGGGGTGTACACCATATTGAAAGGCATAAAACGTTGATTACAAATCCTTCCTGATGTGCGAAACCTTTATGGTAGAGGAGTTATGAGCGTTTATTGGAGAAAAAATTGAATGTGCAAGTAGGACCAAAATAGTCAAATAAAGCAGGGTAATTATCAAGACGCTTCAATGTTGCTTCAAGACAAAAGATATATGACACTTGGTTGCTTTATTTGAGGGCTGGCAAGATTTTTCAACACATTCTGTCCTAACGTTTATTTATTGCTTATTTTTTGCTCAGAGAAACGCTCATAACTCCTCTTTCCAAATGTTCCACAAATGAGGAAGGCGTTCAAAAACTTCGCTTCAAAACACCGCTTCGACTAAACATGCTTCTGTAGTCAATGATTGAGTCCGTTACCCTTGGAGGGTTTTGCTTATGCATTGTAATTCTACACTTCATTTGAAAGTTCTGTTTGCACTCACAACATCATCATAATCAAATCATTTTTGTTTTCCCATTAGTACAGATGGCTCGATGTACAAAGCTATGTATGTATCTCCAAATTTAGCTATTGCAAAAATTGCTATGGGTGTGGAGAGGGGGTGGGGTAGGAAGCAACTTGAATAGTTATAAAGTATCATGGAATTGGGAACAGCCAAGCTGTCTTACCAAAAGAATTCAACACCTTCTAGGTTGTGGTTGTGTCACGAATACTGATAACTTTTCCTCTCTTCCCCCCCCCCCCCCTCCGCCCCCACCTTTCCGCAAATCGGACAAAATATGATAGACATAAGTCTAGTGATTCAACGCCGCTTTCCTTCCTCTTATTAGCAGTCATGTTATCATCGTTTTTGCTGTGTATAATTAGTTCACTTTCGAAATTCTCATTCCGAATGATTGAGGAAAATCAGATGACACAAAAATTGAGCGAGCATCTCCACTGCAGATCCGTCTCCGTTCTTCTCCGACTGGCCTTACGGGATTTTCTGAATGACTTTTCTAGAACCCCTCAATTTTTCAAAAAATGTAAAAATCTATTTGCTTACTCGAATATAATCAAACCTTGAATCTGCCAAGGTAATCAAGCTTTACCCCTTCATACTACCTTGATTAGAGATTTTCGATCACAGCATACACACTGCAGGATAAAAGCTGAAGTCTGGGGTCTAACGTCTGCGACTATAATTATTATAGAATAATTGTTTGGAAATCATAGCTGCTGGAAAGAGAATAAGGAACTGTGTCGGGTCCTTTTAGAGCAGTTAGTACTCTCTATCTGATCTGATTTGAGAGGATCAGCGAGAAAATGCAAAATTCTTCTAGATCAGATGCACATCTTAAGGACTCAGGCCTACATAGAAGTGGAGTTTCCAAATTAAACATCGAGGAATACTAATTACTTTTTGCTATGTTCTGTCCGAATAAACCACGTTACCCTCTCTGAGCCCGAAATCTTTGTTATGGCCCAACCTTTCACAGCGATTCTCCTTCTCAGGAGCAATGTTTAATGCGGAATTTGGTCACTCAGGATTTACGAGTTACTGCTACGAACAATACCAGTTCGGAAGACACATAAGGATAAGGGTGGCTCAAAAAAGATGAGAAGTCCAGTAATCTCGGCTGAACAGATTCTTCTCACCTTCGAGTCACTCTGTATTATTTTCGGAATCCACATATTATTACACAATCTCTGTGTCAACTGTAAAATAACTATAGCTGATATGAAATTTTATGTACACGAAACAAGACATCATTGAAGCAATCGCGGTTCTCTACACGAGAATTTATACAAATACTACGAGCTACCCTTTACTTAACAACTCTTGCGGCTTGAGCAGCATCCTTCAGCTTCTCTGAATGAATCCTAGCGGCCTCCCTCTTCTGTAAGGAATAATTAGCATTTTATGGTATTAGCAAGATCAGAACTGACCTGTTCTTGAGTTAAATTATCAGTATTTTTCACTTCGTTAATGGCTTCTTCACGGATTGCATCCTCACGGACTTCGCTTTGCGGTTCGACTACCTACAAAAAACAAGTTAAATTTATCTGATAAATGATTTTGAGTTCACCGAAGAAAAAAAAACACTTACGTTAGTGGTTGGATTCGATCTTTTTGCAGCTTCCATTGCATTTTTAGCTATTATCTTAGCCTGAAATTGCGAAAAAGTAAAATAATAATCTATCAAGATGACTACAGGCTAAAATGTGCGCCCATCCTTTTTGCTTTCTTCTTCTTCCTTATTTGCAGAAAAACAATGAAGAACAAAAACTTACATCTTGAACTTTGGCATCTTCTTTGTTAGCTTCTTCTTCACTCATCTATAATGAACTGAATGAGATGCAATGCTTAAATTAAAATTTAGCATCATTTACACCAACACCACGATCAAAGCTTTAAAATTGGGTTCTGCTAGCATATGAGGATAAGTGTGGTTTTTTTCTTGTGATAAAATCTTCCGTTTTTCGCGGCAGCTGAGATGTTTCTTTTCAGTGCATTGGCCAAGATTTTTGCTATTTCTGCTAAGTCAACTTTATTGTGCTCATCTTACTAGTGCAGTAGTAGACTGTGTTGATGTAAATTCCTCATCCTTAGAAGGATAATAATTGCTCGGTTATGCGACAAAAAGAAAAATCAAAACTTCACTACTTACATTTTTCTAAGACCTTTCAATAAACAAGAGCGCCCAATTTTGGGCTATTACTGTGGTTCACATCAATTCTCGATAATGTCGAAATTTTTCTTTTTCTCTTCACAAATTTATCAAATTGTAGATACTTACCTTACCATCCGGACCGGTATAATTGTCATAATCTTTGGATCCTTGATCCTGCAACAGAAGGGAATTTTACAGAAACTAACAATATGTGAGAAAACTAACGTTGCTATTGCTGCTTGTGGTCTCCCTAAGAGCTTCTGAAGCTGCTTTTGCCACTTCTAGTGTCTGAAAAAAATGTTTGAGAGGTTATCTTTGGATTGCAACAGTTGCCTCACTGGTTTCTACGGGGCACGAGAGATACTTTTGAAAGGTTAATAAATCTGTTTGCCATTACTGGAATATTTGTAGAAATCTTGAAAAATCGTGAGAAACTAATTTTCATAATAATTTCGAGTAACTACAATTTTTTTCAATAAATTTTGCACAATTTCACACCTGTTCGAAGCCGGTATTCATCGTCTTCTGTACGCCTTTGCCAGCTACACTTAGGGTCTCGACCGCTGCATTGGCCACAGACGAAGCTATCTTCGTTGCAGCTTTGATGATGTTTTTTTGCGGAATTGTCGAGTGGATGCTGCGCGATTCGGCGCATGCCAGCACTCTTCTGCTACTGTTGATTAGTAGAGCAGTTCGGTAGCTCATGGTGAGGTTTTCCTGCAAAATTTTCAGTAAACTACAATAAAAAGCGTTTTGTACTTGGAAGCTAATTTTCTAAAAAACATGGTAGGAAACGAGTGTCAAGGAGCGAAACGTTGCATCGAACTGCGACGGCTTGTTTACCAGATTCTCCTCGGGTCCCTGCGTCTATTGCCGCTCCCGATCTATAAACAACACACCGCCTAATCTCTGGTCATTGGTGACGTCGCGGGAGAACCCTTATTCGCAAATCGCGCAGATGCTCCATGGAATTCAAATTCTAAATCTCCATGGCATCGTCGAAGAAAGGGAGACGCAGGAACACCCCTTGCGCAGAGCTTTTTACCTGACAAAAAATAGGCGCAACCTGTTGATCAACTACCTTGCGAAGATAGCAAACAAAACATAGCTAAAAACAATAGGCGGTGACAAGCAGCAGATAGCGGTGATGCGGTTTCTCGTTTGTTTCAGTAAGTGTATGAGAAGTCTTGGACGTTCCGGCAGTTGGGCATAAAATTAGTTACAGGTAATATCTGAAAATTTTCAAAGTGTACTGAAGTCGGCCCCATCTCATCTCCGCAGTAGAATGCATGTAAAAGTATCACTAAGCACCCTTTATGGCCTTCCTCATGGCTTATAAGAGCGCGATCATTTACCCAAATTGACCACTTGAAGAAAAGCAAGTAGTCTTTGAAATAAGTCTTCGCAATCTAGTTAATTGCTATGTCTATAATTGAGAAAATTCCTTCTCTGCAATAATTTCGAGAACTTCTGCGACGGCTTACAACTGTTATCTGCATCAAGAAGGTATAGTTGGATTTTACTCTTCGGATATACCCTAGTAATTATGACGGCTTAGTAGATATAATATTAGGAACCGTGATTACGAAAGATGTTCTAAGTTCTGACTGCGTCGGATACCGCAAAACAAAAGTGGGAGATGGGGCGCAAAAGCAGAAGCATTGCTCACATGTTTTTTTGGAATTTCCTTTTTGCGAATATGTTTGCGTGCGTCATCGCTGATAGTACTCGTGGAAAGACACTTCAATCTCTCTCACCAAAATGACCACTGGCCAGTTCATCAAAAAAAATTGTCAATTATAGGTTGATCTGCTCAATGTTAGCAGATAAGAACTATCAGGCTGTCGAGTAAAAAGATTCGTTTCTCAAAACATGTTCAAGGGCTCAACGGCAGCCGCAGCTTTGAAAGAACTAGCTCTATGAATTAGCAGAAAAATCGACATGACCAAAGAAAGAATAGAACACTTTTATTTCATCCATGTACACATCAAAACAACGCAACTGTACAATAAATTAATCAAAAGGGATAGCGAACTTGAACCGGGACTATCCTAAAAGTCTATTTATGTACATCGAAATGAAAGATTATGATGTCTCAACATACACATCATATAGTCTCACTCATGCTTGACCTCTGAGTCCTCATTTGATTTGTATTCTTTGTGGTCTGACTGTAATAAGGAACATCAAAAACTGATGAAAATGAGTAGACTACCAACCTTCTTCAACGGCTTGCCTTTACCATATCCTGTATTTCTTGCCATTGCTTCGCGAGTTTTTTCATACGACTCGCTTACCTAAACCCAAGAATGACCTTCTAAGGCCGTCTACAAAAAAAAAAACACATACATTTCCACTGGGATATTTTTCTTTAGCAACATCCGTAGCACCAGGCTGTTTCACCTAAGCAAAACAGGATAAAATAATTGCATTTGACCACATCAGCAAATTTACTAACATTTTGATGGCTGATTGCAGCATCTTCGTCTGCTTCAGCAAGTTTTCTCGATTCCTCACGCTTCTAAAGTATATGCAGGAATCTGGAACTATCAGTAGAAAGGAAAATTTTCAGCTTCGCCCCATATTTATGAAAAGGACAAAGGAAAGAAGAGAGTGGGGAGAATTCTCGAATTTCACCTTTTTCAAAAAACTGAACTAACCTTCTGAGGGTCATCTTTCGCGCTTGTACAACTAGTGTGCAAAGCTCGCGCATCCGTTACCAGCAGCCTTCTGCTGCTCAAATTTAGAAGAGACGTTTTCATGCTCATCATCTTTCTGGAATTAGGACATTTTTCCTCAAGATCAGATAATTCGGAGCGGTAAACGATCAGGAAGTAAGCCAACAGCAAGAGGATGGATGGGAGTGACGCTCGGGGACCGCTTGCTCTCGGCGTTCTCAGAAGCTGACGGAGGGCGCCGACGACGACGATGTTGATGTCTGCGTCTGCTCGTGAATGTGCTTTAGACATACATGAAAACAAATCGAAGTCAAGGAGATTTACTGAATATAGGGAGCGTACGCCACTAATTCTAGGAGCGAACTTCCTTAATGCAAGTCTCAAGATCTTGGACATAGTCGACTGCTTTCAAAAAAAAGAAATCAGTCCTTTCCTTACATAGAAAAAACCGCTTTTATTGTGATAACGCTCAGATAAATGACATACAACCAGGGTGATTCAGAAACCACATCCGGGTTCAACCAACTATGGATATCATATCAGTTAAAGTAAGTCAAAGACGTACTTAGATGAGGCTAATGCCCACTCTCTTCTTCGAGACGACGCCTAATTTTTCAAAGAGTCGTTGAATCGGAGCCCTACCCTTCACCTTTTTCTAGAACTTTCTTTTTCTGTTTTTTTTTTTAACATCAGCGCAAAGAGGACCAAGAAACCGAACCCATCAAAAGAATTCCTTACAAATTTGATATGGACTTCGTTTCCAAACAAAGTTTGTAAGGTTTAAGCTAGCGGTGCTGCCTCTTTCGTAGTCTATAGAGTCGAGAACTCCGTGCTTGTTTCTTACTTGATAAACGAAAACATTTCGATAAGTTGAAAGGGTTTTGTGAGCTTCCCCTATATCAGATTTGGGTGCTGTGTGCTCTTATCTCTTATCTGATTCATTTGAAAGTTCAAAATCGTACTGTGCTAGAGACAAGCATCGAATTTTGCTGCGATGCTCTCTACGATAAGTTTCATGAAACATCACTAGTACCAATGCCTTCACCGCTAGAACGATACAAACTGTATATACTAAGTGAAGGAAGACAAATTATTAGAATACATTGCTATTGACCAATTTAAAAATGTTGTGAAACAATTTATTGACAAATGTACGTATTTACAAATGGAAAATCAGTAATGGCCAATAATGACAGAATATCAGGAACTATTAAGACAGCTTGTTGGCTATGTAGTTCTTAGCCCTTTCTTTCTGAAAAAAGCAGATTTGCTATGAGAGCAGAAAAAGGGAATAAGCCTACTTTGTCGACGAGATCAGCTCTCGCGTCATCCATTTTGTGCGAAACAGTGGTAAGCATATCCTTGGAACCTTTCCTCCTCTAAAGAAATGTAGGATTGATATTTGGCCAAATTTTTTTTGGAGGGTGGGGGCAACTTACCGGTGTTGCACCAGGATCGACCGTAGTAGAGGTAAGATTGTCAGCATGAGTACTCAGGTTGATTTCTTCTGTGGCTCTTTGTGCAGCTTCCCTCGTAGTGTTGCTCATTTTCCTCGAATTTACGTTCTGTAATTATAACTGTATTCCATCTCATAGGTGTAGAAAAATTTGAAGGCGACAACATGTGAATGGTGAGCTTATAGGAAAAAAAACAACGGAAAGACATTCGTCGCTATCCTCCTCTCTCCCTTCTGATATCTTCTCACCTGGCGTAAAAAGAAAGAGCTCCCAACGATTACGGTAATGAAACTACTCAGAACGAAGCTATGCTGAAAGTCGAAATAAACAAAAAGAATCGATGAAAAAGCCCAGTAAGTCTAGACGACGTAGTCTACAAACGGGGGAGGCGGGAGAGGGGTAGTAGCTTGTTGTTTACGGGCTGCTGTTTGACGATCGATTCAATGGCTGAAAAACTAGACGGTCGCCCTCATATGAATTTATTCAGACCCACTATGATAGTACACTTGGCAAGTTGCCAAGGAATCGAAATGCACATGGCTTCTCCAATAAATATATACTGTACTTGTTGAACATTACAAAAAAATAATTTCTGAAAAAAATATCGCTTCAAGGCTGATAGCGAGCATTGAATAATCATTTTGCGAAAAATACTAGAACAAGGCAATAATATATAATGAAGTGATATTCAACGTCACACGTAATCCAACCAAGTGAAAAGAATGCATTTCATTTCTTCTTGCATTTCCCTTGAATTCAGCTCCTATGATTTTTATCACGATCCAGAGTAATAAATTCAAATATACAATTCTAAAATGCCAATTCGACGCGATATCGAAATCTACGACAGACAAAATAAAACGCTGACTGCCTTCCATTTCGCCCTTAATGGCAGCCATATTTGCAAATTTGCATGAATGGAAGATATGCTCTTGCAGAGAAGAAATAGAAATAATGAACTTCTCCTGTTACTTTTTCACATAAAATAATCGCAATTTCTATGAAAGTCAGTTGACTACAGAATAGTTTTCGCAAATCCGTCGACATGCACTTTTGCGCAAAGATCAGATCTTTCGCAGCACTTGTGTCATGTGTCTGAAGCTAAGCGCGTGAGCATACGTGGTTATAAATAATTGTATTTGCTGTACTTGTGTACTATTGCAGAGATCGGAGCTTATATTTCTCAATATTCTCGCGTTGAAATAAAAACAAGAATAGTACGGATTCGAGCGGACAAGGTTACCCAAACAACAAGATTTGGATAAGATCAAGGAACAAAAATATAGAGTCATGAAGAGGAACACTGGAATGGCTCACGCTGGACACTGCTTATATGGAGACGCTAGGATTAGATTTCCATATATAGGGCTTCAGTCTCATATTTGCATTCCTACGGGCAAACATATGAACCTGAGAGAATGCACTTAGGTCTACAGGGCCATTCGCTTTGCATATCATCAATTTTTCACGGTGAAAACTATACAAACCATCATGCAAAGCATGCAGATGTGCTCTCGATCGGCGCTTAACCATTAAGACATAGCATAGAAGGGACATAAGATAAAGTAATAATATAAATACATTACAAATGAAAGCATGACTATATAGCTCGCTTAGGTTTTAAGGAAAAAAGGAGAGGAGGTATGAAGATAGCTGGAAATATGATTTGATTATAAATATAAAATCTGTAATTTGTTGCTGATTAAGATTTGAGCCATAAATCCTCTAAAATTCAGTGATTTATTTCTACAGCTTCTTTATTCTTAAGAAGCCTTGTGAGATGCTTGATGCCGAAAAATCATTTAAAATCTAATTTTTCTGGAATCTGGGTCTGAACTATCAACAAAAAAGAATTACTGAAAATACCGGTCTAGGACCACTTAATTTACTCTTAACAGGATAATCAATCAAAATGCAGCTAATTTTTTGTGGTGAGATCATTGAAATTGGGATTTGCACGAACTGTGAAAAATTATAAAGAATTTCAACTGTATTCTGAAAAAGCGAAGATCAACTCCATTTCCTTAAAACTCAAACCCTGGTTCAGTTAGACCTGTAGGAAAGGCATAACTCCGCATACAGTATATGTACTTCAAAGCAATTCTGCCTTCCTCAAAACTGCAAATAGATGCAACAGAAAGAACATACAAAAATTTATTCCGAAAAATATACAAAGTTACGCAAAATATGTACAATGAGCAGATTTGGCTCTCAAATATTCATTCTGAACCCTGGCCTAAGGCCTAATGCAGCCGTGATCTTGCTACGAGCAGGCTAGAGAATTCCGAAACTTTACTGTATTGGCTTGATAGCTTCGGCTGTGTCTCCGGTTCTTTCATCGACTTTGTTCACTTTGTTGATCTGTTGCTGCCTCTGTAACAATCAGCCCATGTAGATTTACGAACATATAACAGAAAATCTTACGTGTTTTCTTTCTTCTTCGTCAGCATTTGTATCTTCAATATCATCCTGTCGTTTCTGGGAATGCAAATTCAGTCAACACACCACTTATTTTGAAAAATACCTCTATATATTTTTCAGGTCCTTCAGCAGAGTTAGATGGGTGTGGTTGCGATTTATCAGAATGGGATTGCTGGCTCACCTGAATTCAAAGATGCCACAACTGCATCATTATTGAAAAATAGAGTATATTTCTATTACAGAATATTTGCTAGATTTTTTCTATTACAGAATAATAAGAATTTATTTACAGAATATTTATGTTTTTATTAATGTCAGGTTCTGAGTATTTTTCGTCTTCTTTGTTCCAAATGTGGCACGCCTTGTGGTATTGAATAAATAAAATAAAATAAATAAATAAATTTCTAAAGAATAACTAACATCATCATTGCCGTATTCTGACACGCCTCTAACCCCTCCTCCTTCTTGACATCCACCATCTGTATCTGCGTCCTGGAAGCAAAGAGCTTTAGAAAAAAATTTCAAATGGGTAAAATTATGCGCCTTCAACCAACCTTGTGCTCGTAACCTTTTTGCATTTTCTCTTTGATAGTTTGGTTTGTCTGTCTATACTTCTCGTTAGCATCATTGATCACTTTTTGAGCATCATTTTCCTCATAACCAATGGTCCCGGCTGGGGTTGGATTGGAGTGGACACTGCGTATTTCAAGGCAGTTCAGCAGCCTCCTGCCGCCTAGTGCCAAAACGGACGCTCTATTCATTTTTGCAGCAGTTTTTTTTCTGAAAATAACAAGATTTCAAACGCAAATATATATATGAAAATAAAACACGGATGATTTTTCGAAAAGGGTGCAAGAGCGCAGGAGGCAGAGCGCGCAATCGCATGCAGGCGCAGTTGGGAGGGTCTGGTTGTTTACTAGAGCGTGCAGCCGTCTGCGTCTACACTGCGATTGCTCTCGCAACACCCGTGTGACCCCTCGTGGACCACGGGGATCAGAGTCCAAGAACGCCACAACTGTTGGAAATGATTGTGTCGATACGGTCAAAGTTGCTGGCGTAACAGAACCAGATTTCTAGGCGCGTCAGATCTGAAAGATATTCTGAAGAGATGGAGTAGAACCTACTATACTTTTCTCTCTTACACATCCAAAAATATATCTGAAAAAGTAAATTCTCAAATCAATTGCATATGTTTGTGGCACACGTGAACACTAAAGAAAACAAGCACGATAGCAGTTGCGAACTTTGCGCCACATGGGGTGAAAGGTCTCATCTCCTCGTGGCTTGATCGAACTCATGTCTGATACCAGGTTGGAAAAAAATCAACGTGTTGGTTTACGGCTTTGAATCTCGTACTTCTAGGAAGCTAGAACATTTAGAAATAGTTCATGGATTAAGGTTGAACTTTTTGGTACACAAGTGCATTGTAGGGACCTGGGAATAGTAGAGCCGAGTTTGCCATTACCCATTTATTTTCTTTATGATCTCTGAGCAGTGAATAAATCTAGGTACCGATGCTTATATATGTCTAAGTGGAAGCAAATTAGAGCTTCACAGGATTTTCGGTAGCAATATCGGTTATAAATTGTTCACGGATTTCGGCTTCACACTCTATGCGCGCTTCAGGCGGATGTTTAGTGTCATCTTGTAACTTTGCTCTATTGCTAACCCAAATACTACTTTGTTCGAAAAGTTCAAGAAACGACTTTATTCTCTTACTCTAATAGCAGGAGTGCAGTGAAGTGTTTCACTTTCTTCCTATTGAAAATTTTTGAGTCCTTGGGGCAGTGGTGAATGTAATGAAGCAAAATCTAGGTCGCTGAAGTTATGCCTGGGGTAACCGTTTGATCTGCTGCACACAAGTTCGCCCACCAATGCGATAACACTTTTTTGTGCGCTATGGTCTACATAACTTTAGCGATTAAGACCTAAAAAGATACTGTGACGAATGATGTGACGATTATGTCACATAGCCCCTTTGTGAAGAGTTTCAGCGCAGAAATTCACCTCCTACCGTACTCCTACCGCCAAAGGAAATGATATAAAGTGCTTTATCGTCATCTTGAGATGAGATTGCGGTGCTGCCATTGAAGTATCTTTCACATCTATGCATTCAGAGAAAATCATGATGAGATGGATGAGACAGATACTATAGAAAGTGGAATCTCTGTGAAAATCGTTATTTCATGGCGGACACCTTCAAATTTTATTGGCATTTTATCCAAAAAACGACAGCACCGAATTATATTCCAAAAAACCATAGTAGGGAAAGATCAAAGGGAAGAGGAGGAAATCAGTTGCACAAATAAAAATACGATTATTTTCACAAATTTCGTGACCTGCTGGTTATGTATTAGGTCGTTTCAAAAGTAATTTCGCTTTTTCCAAACGGGTGCCACATTTAATGGAACTAAGCTTTCTAAGAGTCTTGGAAGCATTCGATGCAGAATTTCATTCTCTTTCTAATGGTTATGGAATAGTTGCAAAACATTCAATGAGCTTTCAGAAAATAACTAAAATCTGTGACCCAGGCTTTTTGAGATGGTCAAGTTTCACGATTTTTTAAAACTTTCATATCAATCCTCAGAAGAAGAAGTAACGATTCGATAGAGTAAACCTCATAGAATACAGTTCTATTTTTTTTTCTTTCTCGTAGCTCGCCATCGGATTTTGGCAGGCTCACCTCAGCCACAATCGCATCAAATATCATAATTTTTCGGAATTTGAGACTACCAAGATGGTACTATGAGTTAGCATTAATTTCAAAGCAAGTGAAGGTGTACGGGTTCGAAATATCAAATTTTGAGTTTTTCCGGTACAGCCTGGGGCTCGCTAAAAAAATGAGTTATGATGATTTCTCCCCGGAAATTAAACGAATCGGAAACAAAAAACATCTTTTAGAAAGAGGGGAAAATGCTGCATCGAATAGTGCGCGAGCTGCTCTTCTGTTGATGTTCTACGAGGATTTAGCTGTCCAAGTATGGAAATCGGTAGCATCAGTTAAAATTCTGTTGAAAATTTATGATAAAATGTAAAAAATGACAAGCTATGGAAAGGAGAAAAAAGTAGTTTTGCATTCTGTAGGGTTTGCTTTATAAAGGCGTTACTTGGACATTTTCGGAAACCTAATACAAAAGTTTTAAAAAATCGTGAATCTTGAACATCTCAAAAAGCATGGGTCGCAGATTTGGTTATTTTCTGAGAGCTCATCGACTATTTTGCAGCAATTTCATAACCTTTAGAAAGAGAATGAAATTCTGCATTGATTGCTTCCAAGATCTCTTTAAAATCTTTGTTCCATCAAAAGTGGCGCCCGTTTGAAAAAAGCGAAATTACTTTTGAAACGACCTAATACTTCGCGACTGATCAGGCTAATAGATACAAACTCGGAATTTTAGGATTTTGGAACTTCTCGGAAAGGAAAAGTATAGCAGAAATTATCCGCCATCCTGATAGATATCTGCGGAGCGTGTCAATCGACTAAGTTCACTTTTGGACGCTGAGATTGAAATGCATGGGATTGCTTACATATGATCATTGCGAAAGTTTCTTCTTTTTTCCTCCGTGTCACCAAACTTCAACGAATTTCAAATCTTTCATATGCTGAAAGAAGACTCTGTGCGCTTTACAAGTGTGCCCCAAACAGCTTCTAAATTTGCCTCGTTGGGTTCGACCACTCAAACTTTCGTATATTTCAAAGTCGCTGAAGCTGTGTTTTGATGCAGAAAGACTAGCTGCAGAAAATCACGCATGGTTTACAAATGACAGTCTATAGGCCACTGCGGAAGCGAAGATTGCAAGTTTTCTATATGTCGATAGACTAATTTTCCACCAAACTTCGAAATGAAGGCTTCCTCCAAAAACTCATTTTTGAAAGTTTTTTAAGGAGGCTACAATTTCGGGAGAAATCCGCTGAAGGGGTAGCTTGCTATGTCTCATAATGCTGGTTGGCTTCGCAAACTTGAAGGGACCTAAGATGACATGAGGCAAATTTCTGTGAAAACTCGAAAGCTCTTTCAAAATCCTGGTTTCAAACTTGATAAGTAGGAAGAGGAAGCTCATGGTGTACTCAAATTTGGCAAAAACGGATAAAAAACTTTTCGAGTGACCGAATCTGGCTTGCGGGGAGATAGCACAGGGTATTTATGATCGACGATGTCCGATGAAAAGAACTTATGGGAGATTTCTACTTATAGCCATGTACCAGGTACAGCAGCGTGCGTTCCACTGATCACTATAGCAACACCCCCACGGAACGGGTTTCAGTGGAAGGAGCAGCTGATGTGTGATCTTTGAGAGTCGAGTGCGATCCCCAAAATAGCAGTCAGCTGTTTAAGTAACTCGAGTTATGCGAAATGACAGCTAGCACTTATACATGTGCTTCATCAATGAAAACATCTTGCGTACGAGGGACTGGCTGTATGGAAATCTTACTTCCACATCCACTGAATTTGTTCTATCAATATTAGGCAATCGACCAAGTTTTGCGACCATGAATTTTCTTCGATTTCTAAATATAGTGTACTGACTTGATGGCATGTAAGCTAACTTGTTGCCTGCCAGGTTACCCAACACAACTAAAAGTCAAAGAAGTATACTGAAGACAACCTATACTGGGGCAAAAATACAGATTATTATCATTTTTTAAAGATGTCTAAAAAGGAAATGAATCGTTTTAGAGTTCCTTTCTGTAAAGTTACCGTAAATGCATGGTGCCATTTTTTTTCAAGTCTTTTTTTTCAACTTTCATTTCTCGAGGACGTCAAATCTGCTGTGCTCAAACTTTCATTTGTTTATTACCGGGCTTAGTGAGTCGATCTTTAAGAAAACTTTATCTCACAGTTTGGGCTTCATCTGGCAATTCAGATTGTGAACGGCTTCACTTCTGCTTTGAAACAGTAAGACCTCGGACTTTACCAGTTTTCGGTCGAGTTTTTCAGTGAATCTCTTCCACTTTACGTCAAAAGTCAATCTGTTTTTGCATTGGTAGCTCACACAACGGTGTACACAAGGATACTGCGGTACATATGGAAAAAAAATGTTATGCAAAAAGTTAGAGTATTCTTACCAACCTATTGTGAACAACTCGACCTTCGGGAAAAAATTCCAATCAAAACAACGTCTACTCCTTTTGCACCTCTCCCGTGCACGATGTGCGATCCTCAAACGGGATCAACTTCGAAAAAAAACACAAATTACCGGAAAAATCCACAAATCATAAAAGCGGTTGTTAGCACAAAGAAGTTTTATATAACCAGTCAAATTACATAGCAAATTAGTATATTGTCGTCAAATTTCGGATCAGGTGTGAATGCAGACAACTTATGTAGTTAGCTTAATTAATAAGCGAGTTCGAGTTCATTCGAGATAATGAACTCCTTTAAGAATGGCTTAATCATATGGGTCATATCCTTGTGCATGAATCCACTTCCCTACGCTCGTTCAGACCTAACTTTTGATGTAATTATCTGTTAAATTTTTTTCTGCACTTGCAGAGACTGATCCAGAAGTGACGACAAGTGATATATGTAAGCACCCTTCCAAATTGAGCATTCATATATCTTTCTTATATACATATAATGGGAAACTAATGCTTCTTCTATTTTCCATGTCGCAGTGCAGCTGAGGCATCTTGCATCAGGTCACCAATCAGCCCTTGAACGTTTTCAAGCTGAAATTTCGTCTATCACTCACAATGCCATATTGTGAAGCAAGTCAAACCCTCTTCTCGGCATCCGCTCTGACACTGTCCACTTTTTGTTTCTTCTGCTCATAAGCTTCTTCTTCAGCCTGATTCTGAAATAATTTATGTTGCAGCTTTTTATGTTCATCTGCATATCTCATCCAGAAATTTTCTGTCTCTCTGTCATTTTCTTTCGCAGTGGCCAAGACAAATTTTTCGCATTACTCCCCTGAAGAGCGAAAATTCCATTACTCTGTGGACAATTATGGAAGATAACCATAAAACGAAGTAAAGGAGTTGTACGACAATACAAAAAGTTGGTCGATTTTTGAATAATAGAAAATCATGGGCGTTTTCAAATCTAGAGTAGAACCTTGTGCTGTACTGCATGTGAAGTATAAAAAAACAGCGTAGAAATTGTGACCGTTTTTGTTTCCAACTACATTAGAAGCGAAATTTTCTGAAAATCTACGTCTCATTACCGATTGATGGGAGCCTATTTTCCTCTTCTAAAAGTATGCCTGTCCTGTCAGTGAGAAAGTGCAGTCATACAAACGAAGCAGTTGAGAGTGTATTCTAAATGCTCGACTGTTAGTCAGAGGAGAACACACGGGGAATCAGCTAAAAGGATTGAAAACCTGTGGTAGGAGGATTTTGATTTTGCTAACTTGAGTCATTGATGGCACATTGATAGAACTATGAATCCGCGCAAATGAATAAGGCTAGAAATTCAGCACCCAATAATCTCTGTTATGCTTCTCTCGCCGGAAAAAAATCAGGTATGGTAAATCTCGAGGTGGATTTGCTTTACGTAAACAATAATTTGCTTTGCTTCACAGTATCTATGTTTTTTCAAAACTTTACGTTATTGTTAGATTTTTTTCCTTCTTATTTTTTCACTCACTTTGTACACAGCATCTTCGTACGCTCAACTGCATGAGTAGTGATACTAATAAGCATCAAAAAGAATTTATCACACAGAAATCTTTTATCTTAAAACTCGAGCTAGCAAGGGAAGCATATTTGGTCGAAGTTGCCTCTTAAATCGAAATTCACACCATATTGAAGGGCATAAAATGCTGATTCCAAATCTGTCTTCTTTTGCGGAACATTTGTGGACGAGAAGTTATGAGTGTTTACTTGAGCAAAAAATCAAGCGTGGAAGTAGCTTAAATAAGCGATGATAATTATCGGAGCTCTTCATTCAATAAATACTTTGAGATAAAAATATAAATAAGTTCACGCTTAATAAAATATAAAATAAATAAAAAATGTAATATCACACTTTTTTGCTTTATTTCAGTTCTAGTGAGATTTTAGCAACTCATTTTATCCTGCACATCTAATCTTTGTCCGATATTCGCTCATAGCTCGTCGTCGTCCACAAATGTCCCGCAGGTAAGGCGGGCAGATTTGGGATCAGCGATTTATCTCTTTCATATCGTATACTTTTAACTAAAGCCGCTTCGACTAAATATGCTTCCCTTGTAGGGAGTGGGTAATAAACAAGTTGTCTCAGTCAGGTGGAAAATTTTCAAAAACTTCTTGCTATAGATTGAACCATATGAGCCAGATGTTCTTTGCAAAACAAAGCTTGCACCAATCAGTTTTTACTAATATGCAAAGTTTAGCCTTTTTGTAATGCCAAGATGGGAACATAGTATACTTTGATCATTGGACTTGGGTTCGTGTTCATTTATTTGCATTACTTGGGTAAATCCAGACTATTATACAGTACTCGAAGAATAAATGCCAAATCAAATGATTTTACGAATCAGTATAAAGCAAACAAATTCTGCTTACTCACCGCATCCTTGACAGCTTTACCAACTTCGTTCTTTCCATCAGCACTGGCATTTGCAAGCTCACGAGCTTTTCTGAGGGCATCTCGAATCACCCCATGTACCGGGGCAGAAGAGTGAACTCCACGATTCAATAATATTTTGCTGCTTCCAGCAAGCCTTACGCATTTCAAACTCATCTTTGGTCAAATCAGCTGCAACGTACATATCATAGAACGCAAAAGAAGATCAGGACAGAGAATGATAGTACCGAAAAATGTATGAATGCGCTGGTTCAATGCAAACGAACGATCTTCAAAGGAGACCAGACGTGTTTATCAGACGGCGTGTTTTCGATCTTTCATTTCGATTGTCGGTTCTATCGACACTGGTGCGGCAGTGAACCACTGAAAGCGACCATTAATCTTCATTCCAGGCTTTGTACACATGAATCGGGCAATACTTGGTGCCAAAAAGTGTAATTCGCAATCTAAAATGTGTCCCAATTTGAATCCTCCTTCTCCCTTCTCTTTCGCCAGACCTAAGGCACCGTCTGATGAGCGAACTTCAACCCAGATGTATATGGAGCGAATGGCCGGTCACATTTCAGCAATATAGGATTACGGGATTACGGTAGGAGCTCCCAGTATAGAGCGCCAGTGCGAACTGGACCGTTCCAAAATAAAATTCGAAAAGTCTAGAAGTTGTGCAGCAGGGTTTTCGCGCAAGCCGATTTTATTAGTCATCTTTCAGCGGGTTTTTCAGGCTTTTCATATGGTGTAATCACATTTGCGAAACACCTAAGAACATCTCCTACGGAATGGTATACGTGACAACTTACAAAGGAAGCCCAGCGGTATAGTTCAAGTCTAAAATTCATGATCAATAATTCTCTGATTAGCCTGACCTAAGAGTTTTTGGTCATCTTTCGAAAGCAAAACATGGATCCAAATGGCATAAACCCATCTTGGAGTTCCTGCCGTAATCTTACAATAATGAAGAGAGATCAGTTATTCGGACCACAGTGTAGGTTCAAGTCGAAACAAACTCTACAGTATGGAATCCAAACGTTGGCAGAAGACTTTGTGGGAAGAGGGATGTTAACCAAATAGGGGGATTTTTTGGGACACTCTTCACAATATGCTCCGGTCCCGAGTCTGGCATGAATTATAACATTTCAAAAGTTCTCTCCTGCACTTTTGCGTGTGCTAAAGGATTCCAAATGCTTCTAATCTTTGAACTGAGCTTCTGAGCTACACTATGGCGTGTTCAACTCCAATTTGCTTCTTTATCTGACACTGGCTTTTACTTTGTATGGATAAGAATGGGATTTACTCTAAGGGCCGCATGCATTAACATCCCCGGCGGGGAGGGGATCGCAGCTTGCAAAGAAAGCTTCATATCCTGAAGCTCCGTACTTCTGGATTTCACTCGTCTACCCATCTGTAAGTATATTCCTGCCATCCTTTACTATGAACATATTGAGCAGGAGCGAGAAGCTGTACAGGCCGCATTTTCTAGCATTTTGTATGATCCCCTGATGATCCCTGGCGGTCGACCGTCTTTTCTTCAAAGTCATTTTTCTTTCTTCATAGTTAGGAAAAACATCCTAAAGTTCTACTATTCATCTAGCCCAACATTGCTAAGCATGTTGCTGATAAGAACAAATGATGTATTGGAGTCATGAAATTTGCGTGAACCACAAGTCGAATGTTGGGGTTTATCGAAAAATTCGGTTTCTCAAAAACTCATCTGTTCTTATCAGCAGCATGTTCAATACCGTTGCGTTAGATGTTCAGAACAACTTTGGAAGGTTTCCGTTAACACTGAAGAAAGAAAAGTGAGTTTAAGAAAAGACGGTTGGCCGCTGGGGATCATCGGGGATCACACAAAGTGCTAGAAAATGCGGCTTGTACAGCTTCTCGCTCCTGCTCAATATGATCATAGTAAGGGATGGCAGGAATACTTAGGGATAGGTATACAGCGTGAAGTCCAGATGCCTAAAACTTCAGGATATGAAGCTTTCTTTCTGAGCTGCGATTCCTTCCCCAGCGAATATGTTAATGCATGTGGCCCTAAGACTCCATCGTCAACCTCTCAAAATGTACTAGTGACTTTTGTTCGAGAGACTCTGCATAATCTGCCGAGTTCTAACTGATCTTGTAAAAAGCTCGGCAATCCCAAATGGAAAAGAATGTTTGTAAAGACTAGAAATATACGGTTTCAAACACAAGAATGATATGTTTCTTCTGCGTCAAATCACCACTTGCCCACAACAGAATATGATGTAATTACACGATTACAGCCAAAATACTGATGAGTAAATTATAAACAATGAAGTAATCCTATGAGTCAACCTGATCACGTGTCAATATCAGAAGCCGCACTATGACAAGCCAAATGAGAAGCAAATATTTTGAAAAACAAGATATACTTCGAAATACGCAATTTTAGAAAGATGAAAACTTCCAAGTTGACTCTGTAGTTCTTGAATTATATAAAGACGATTGGCTCTAAACTCAAATAGAGCCACTGCGACACTTCAAATGTGACCATGAGCTGAAATTTATTCATACAATAAAATTCTTATACAGCACCTCATACAAATCTCTCCTGTGCAAACTGAGTGATTGTGCAAATGCCAGAAGAGCAGAGAAATACAACGAATTTGCATAGGAGGTGCCCAAAACCATGAAAATAAAATTATTAAAACAACCTGAGAAACAAAGCTATAATGGCGACTTGTTGGCACTTCGTAAACGAATTCTCAATACTAGCAGCTACTCTGAGTAGGGGATGATCGCTATCTCGGTTTGTGGTTACTGGATTCATTTTGCAGCTTACCAACTATTCCCTTGACGTTTTCTACCTAAACAAATCCGCAGGTCAGTTATTTTCCTCTTTTGCATTCGAACACAGTACCTCCTTCGTTTTCCTTTTGACATGATCCACCTTTTTTTGCATCTTCTCCAAAGAATTATCGTCTGTTTTGTGAACCTGCAGATATGGAGTCAACATTAGAAGCTTCGGAAATGGTATGTGTACTCACATCCCCGCTTGGGTATACCCTCTCGAGTGGATGTCCAGTATCCCCTCCCGATTGTTCGAGCTGAAAATTGACTCATCAGAAGCTTGAATCAACTCGGATATGTTTTTCACTCACTTTCTTATTGACTTTGGCGATCTTTTTCGCGTGTTTTTTGGCTTTTTCTGACCCCTCGTTTATCTAAATTATCTGATACTGCAATCATCGTTTGCAACAAGCATGGAAATCGAAGAATATTCAAACCTCTTCACGTACATCCTCATCTGCCACATCCTTGAGACCCTTTTCTGGTTTTTTGCAGTACGTATTTCGCATTTCCATACAGGCCAACGGCCCCATTCGTAACCGAACGGCATGAACAACTCGGAGGATCATTCTGATAATAGAATAAATCATTTTCACTTTACGCGGTTCGCTATGAAGTATCCAAAGATCGGATCACGATTTATGGTAGTGGCAGGAGTAGTTGAAACTTAGCAGTAGCACTACATTCTGCCCCATTCTAAACGCCAAAAATAGTACAGCTGCCATGAGAGGATTGAGAAGAGGTAGAAGTCCACATCTTCAGAACTACGAATGATTTGCTTAACAGAAAACTTCTACAGACAGAGCAAGAATATGAGGGACTCACTTCCTTTTCTCGGTCACCTCTATTTTACTCTCATAAATATTATTCTCAACTATTGGGTTGTTTCAAAAGTTCTACCCGTTTTCCAACTTTGACTTTGATTCAACGTAACTTGTGTCAGAAATAATCTTTGCAATTGCTATTAACTGTATTACAATCTGCAAATTTTTGGTTATTCTGAGCACTCTTTAAGATTATTGCAGCAACAGTGGAGAAGATTTTATAGGCGAAAATTGAGGAACATCTCCTTGTAGAAACCTTCACTTTGCAAGAGCATAACTCGATTTGGAATATAGCCGAGTTGCACAAGCACTGCTCACAGTGTAGCCTATAGTCGACTTAGCAGTGCCGCTAACTTTGGATTACATCAAACTCTTTGATAAAAATTTTGTGCTGAAAAAACGCTTTTGAATGATATAAGCAATGTTTATGAAAAATGGTTTTCTCGTCCAAAATTGGCAGTTTAAAAAAGGTATCAAAAACGGGTAGAACTTTTGAAACAACCCAATATAATATAATATCTAAGCGGTCAGACAGAAAGAAAGCGAAATCAAGGAACTTTCAAGGTAAAGCACGAAAATTGTAAAGACAACAATTCTTTTAATGGCAAAAATTAGCACCGCTTTGATATATGAACAGAACAGCAACATTCTGGTGACTAGCAGTTCGACGTTGATCCACACAATATGTTCTCATCCATTCAAAATCTCGAATATTCGAAAAACAAAGATATCGTATAATCCAATGAAAATTGTCACGCGAATGTCGAACGTCGATTGTATTTAAACACAAATTAAGTAAATTTGTCGATTCTTCGTTCTACCAAAACAACTGCAACATTCTCTTCGCCATCATAATCTTAATCCAATTTTCAATGCTCGATTTTTCATGAATAAATCAAAAATTGTCAGACCGTCCCATACATAGTAGCAGAAAATTTTCTGGGGAAAATTTTTCTTCCGCATTTTCAAACGCACATGCATACAGCATTAGAGGATAGCGCCCTAGAAACTAGACTCGAGAAAATATTGTTCCAGCATATTACGCATACACTCGGAGAAAATTACATGAAATTGAAAGGAGAGCACGTGCAATGGGAACCGAGTGGTCGACGATCGCAACCACTCCCCGATCAATAAGAGCGTCGAGTCGCATTTGTTTACGTAAATAATCAACAGCGATTTTAGTATTTCCCCCTCTTTCGCGCAATAAAACCCAGAAGAGAGGGAGATCTTTCGGATTTTTTTCATTGTTGTAATTATGAATTATAGGTACATGTATATCAAAATTCCATGAATTGCTGTAACTTTTACCAAAAGTGTTTGTTCCAAATAGTGTGCAGCTAACACTAAGAGCGTAAAAGCTCAGCAGTTCGATCACAACCCTAAAGTGTCGACGAGTGAGAACCAAGTTTATAGAATGTTTTTCCATAGGTGAAAGGCATGACTTTTGGATATGTCAGTATAGCGGAAAAAGCGTTAAGCCGAAAGCCACTGTTGTAGAAATACCAAACTAGGCTGAGAAAATGATTCTGGAGGGCAAGAATAAGTCTGGAAGGAAGTGTGCGGTAACCCAATTCTTAAAGGATATCTTCATTTTTTTACAGAAAAAGCAGAAGTCGTTTGCTCCTAAATCTTCTAAGCTTATATTATTTTTATCTTAGGATTATGTCTCGCTGTGATGAACAAAGGCTTTCTGTGACTGCAATAAAGGAGGTTACAGCCGCGAATACGGTCTTTCATACTCTGCGAACCAAATTTTGGAGCATAATCAACATCAAAGGTGCGATGGTAGCCGAGCCCCCCAAAAGTGAAGGTGGTCCCAGCTACCACGGGCCGCGAAAAGTGAAGGTGGCAGTGCCGAACCTCACCTCCCAAAAACGTCGCCCGGGGGGGGGGGGGGGGCACAACGCGACGTCTCTTTTTCCAAAATTTCTCTTCACTGACTAATAAAAAGGAGGAATAGAACAAATTCAAAAATTACTAGAAGCTTTTTTCTCATTCAATTTATTTTTCGGAACTCGCCATCACCTACTGCGAGCCATCCTGGCATGGAGGCATCTAGGCCCCAGAACTTCCCACAATTTCGGAGAACAAAGCTTATTGATGAATTTCAAGAGCTTTGACCCAACGGTCCTCTTCAGGGCCAATAACTGTGACCCAACGGCCCACTTTAGGGCCACAGATACGATGAGTTTGGTAAATGGTGTGTTTGGAAGTGAAACTCAGTGAGACTTTACAGATTTTATTAAGTAAATTTTGTTATAACGTACTGCGAAGAAAGTAAGTCGATCCAGGCAGTAACCGCCAAGAACCACGAATGATAAAATTACGATAAATTATGCGAAATTTCCATATTTATAAATCTTGCGGTTGAAGATGTCAGCAATTGCGACTTCATAGCTTTTACAGGGTAAGGTTTTTCTACCAGATGGTGAAATAATCAGTTCGATTGAACCAGTGGCCGCCGAGAACGAGAAGTTTGAAAAATTACGCGAATTTAGGTTGCTTAGTGACAGCTGGCGTTTGAACCCCCATACATCTGGATTGTGAAGGTGTGTGATGTTGCGACTACTAGGTTTTGTGGAGTAAGGTTTGCCTTATCAGAATAAATCTCAGAAGTACCGATCCATTGAAACAGCGCCGAGATCCAGGGTCTTGAAAAAGCAGGTAAAAAGCGCTTTTTGAAATTCAATAGTAGCTCATATCTTTTTCAGAACTGCATGAAACATGTTGCGACTTTATAGGTTAGATTCTTTTCAACAAAAGATTTTTAGATGATATGCAATATGTGGGGGTTTAGGACCTTCTACGACTTATGCCCGGGAGGGGAGACTTTTCATCACAAATTCTCCCCCCAGCCCACTTTAATGTATTGGATGGAGACCGCCAGGGGAGAATTTCTGATGAAAAGTCTCCCCTCCCGGGCATAAGTCGTAGAAGGCCCTAAACCCCCACATATTATATATCACCTAAAAAGCTTTTGTTGAGAAGAATCTAACCTATGAAGTCGCAACATGTTTCATGCAGTTCTGAAGAAGATATGAGCTATTGAATTTCAAAAAGCGTTTTTTTACCTGCTTATTCAACACCCTGTATCTCGGCGCTGTTTCAATGGATCGGTACTGATAAGATATATTCTGATAAGGCAACCTTACTCTACAAAGCCTATAAAGTCTCAACATCACACATCTTCACATTCAGGATTTATATGAGTTTAACTGTCAGCTGTCACTAAGCAACCTAAAGTGGCCTAATTTTTTAAAATCCTGTCTCTCGGCGATCAATTCTCAAATCGAACTGATTCTTTCGCTGTCTGACACCATTTACTCTTCATAACCTTGAAGTCGCAGTTGCTGACATCTTCAAACACCATTTATAACAGTGGAAATTTCGCATGATTTTTCGTAACTTTATTATTCAAAATTCTGGTTTTCGGCGGTTATTCCCTGGATCGACCTACTTTCTTCGCAGTACGTTATGACAAAATTTACTTAATACAATCCGTACATTCCCGCTAACTTTTAGCTTCAAATGCATCATCTACTAAGCACGTTTATTTTAAATAATATATATGCCGCCGTATACATAAAAATATGCCGTCAATAATCTTTTTTGCATTTGTTTTGCTTACTTTCCTTCTTTATCGTCCAGCAAAAAATTTTTTTAATCCAAAAGTGAAGGTGGTCACCCTGTACCAGTTCAAAAGTGAAGGTAGGGGGAGAATCGGCTCCCACTATCGCACTTCTGATCAACATGCCTACATTATTTGAAGTATCGAGGAAATCAGCTTCCTAATTGCGAAGTTTACACTAAAAAGCAAGATTAGAATTAGGGGCTCATTCCCATCCATTCCATGAGAGTTAGAATTTTGATAAAAACAAAAGTGGAAAGATATCATGGGCTCATAAAACAGATAAGACGGATTTCAGAAAAATCGACGAGACTTCGATAATATTAGCTTCACATCCGGCTGGAAGGATGAACATGCTTTGAGCATCAATCAGCTTTATCGGATCTACACTATTTTCCGAACAACCCGACAGTCATCCTGTGAGCTGAACCAAAAAAAAATGGGCAGATATAGCAATGTTGCACTTGATACTCTTGATGAGCTACAATTTCCATTCGTCACTTTCTTGGTAAGCGGTGCCCATTGGTATAAGAATGCTTCCCTTATTTTCCCTACTTTCCTTTCCTTATTTGTTTATTTATGATTTATTATAGTTTATTTATATAACTATAATTTATTTGCACTGCTCGAGTTTGAAGTTTGAACTTGGGACATAGTTTACTTTTTCTCACTAAGAAGGATAATAACCAGCAGCGGCAATTTGCAGCGAATTGTATGCCGTTAGATGCGCCTTGTTGAGTTAATTCTAAATCTAAATTTCGTATTTGCTGCGAGGTTCTTTAGAAAAGGTTATGAGTTTTAAATATCCAAATTTGGCAAGCATATGGTGTCACAACTCCAAGATGTAAGTATTCAAGAAAACTTGAGGTTCGTCTCCAGAAGTTCCCCATAGGTACCAGTCAACAAGGCTGCCCTTCGATCATTTTAACACATTCACTTCAGCAGAATTAAGGCGCTTATTTCAAGTTGTCATGTTAGAATGATCGAAGGGGCAGCCCCGCTGATGGTACCTGTGGGAACATTTCTGAGGACAGACGATATCTATGTTGCTGGTGTATGTGTGCATTGCTTCTAGTCAATACATTCAACTTCATGATAATCATCAATTTCCAAGTTGGCTTCAAAGCCGATTATGCATCAAACCCAAATACTTCGCACTTTTAACCGCCCATAGCTTTACAGAGAAATAGCAGATATAAGTAGATATGGGATCAACTTGAAAAGGCGCATCTGATAATATAAATCATTCCAGTTTGCAATTGTGACCTTGTCCTTCCCTTGTCAGGAACTTCCTTTCTGTTTTAAATAAACTGTTACAATTCCTAGAAGTGTGCCAAGTGCCATACCTTGTTATTGCTCTCTGAATTTCAGAAGAATTCGTCTGGGTTGGTTCTGACGCTATACTTCCTATAGTGCCAGATGTCTAGTCTAGATTCTGCACAATAGAATTTCTATTTCTGAGAGAAAACAGCAAGTTTTTAGGACAGTGGTTCCGGGTCCAAAACATCATTTCTGGCATTCATCAACACAAAAACATTTGGATGTAGTCTCAAGTGAATTTGACCTATCAAGGCTAACCTGTCTTGGCTGCAAGTGCAGATGTTTTGAATGCAGGAAGGAAAAATGTTTCTAGGCAGACTTTTGCAAAATGTTAGGCTTCTCAAATTTTTTGTGTGTGCAATCCCCACTACGGCTTCAACATCGAAGCTCTACTCATCAGATGGTAGGGAAGCAATTCATATTTTTTCAAACGATATATAAATACTGATGTATGCAGCGGAGGATTAGGGGGGGGATGCTTGCGATTTATCAAAAGCTCTGCTTTTTCTTCAAAACGCCGATTTTATTAGGTTGGTGCTAAATCAACTCTTGTTTCTTTTCCTTGAGCATCAGAAAGGATGTCAAAATGTATAGAATACATCATTCGGTAGAGCAATGCAAGCTCCACAACATTTCATCTGAGAAATGGCAAAAGATTTGATTTACATGAAATTTGGGGAGAAAATTTAGGAGTTTTATAATACCCAGAAATCATCCCGTCTAAAAAATCCTGCGATTTTCCGGGCAAACATATGCTATGCTTCATTTGTACTCTTCATATCATTTCATTTATTGCATAGGAGATGACCCTATGATACAACGAAACAACACAAAAAAATAGACGAAAACAGAAACGCAACGAAAATGTAGGGTTGCGTGATAGCTCGTAGACAACTCATGTTAGTAACAACATGTCACTGAGACTGGTAGATAGTTCCTCAAAGCGGTCTTAAACGAAGACAACTTCGTAGGAAGTAAGTATTTTCCAATGGTTTATTCATGTCGTTAGTGACACGATATATGAAAAAATATTCCTTATATACACCTTGTGTCTTGGTGCGGAGATAATCAGTTTTCTAATTCCTCCTCTTGTATTAGTTATTCTAGTAGAAAAAACGCCCCGAACTCCAAACTGCATTGACCATATGCCATCTTATGTGCCATGAGAAGCTCGAACTTGTGCTTTCTATAAGCGAGAGATGAGAGCCCTAATTCAATGTTTCTAATCGTATCATTTGGCATGACATCATATTTGAAGCCAAGCCGTCGGATAAAAAGTTTGCGTGTGAAGCTGTTCTGAACTCTCTCCATATAGTCAATCGTTTTACGCAGGTGTGGATCAAATATAACTGTATCATAATCTACAATGGGCCTGATAAATGTTTCGTTAGCTTTTGAAAGAGAGTCTTGTCATTATTGCGAAAACCCAAGATGTATACTTGAGGTATCTCGATCAGCTTGCAGCGATCGTCAAAAGTAGGGTCATTTTTAACCATGAAGCACAGATCTCTTATAAAATCAACTTCTTGAAGAGAAGATTCCCCAAGAAGGTACTTGAATATGACTAAAGGTCTTGGTTCCAATACTGGGTGTCCCCAAAAAATGCAAACACTGTTTGATTGTTGATAACTCTCTTGCTTTCATTTCTTTCACCGAGCTTGAGGTGACATTCTGTAGAACAAGGCCCATCTTGGAACAACATGAAACCATGAAACGAATCTCCGATCTTTCTTCGTTACTGTAGGACTACGGTATAAACTTTCAGCATATAGCACCACTGTTCAATAGGCCTTTTGATGAGAAAAGTTCTAAAAAATTCATTTGTCTAGCAAGGTTTTGGCGTGCTGATTTCACTACATTACTTTTTACCAGTTTTTCGAGCTTCTATAATGGTTTTTTGACGAACACTGGAAGCAAGCTTCTACCAAAGATTGTAATCACACCGTTGACTGAGTTAGAAGAGTGAGTCCCACGCTTTAGTTATTCTGCTGCTTTCAGCAAGCATTACACATTTCAGACCCATTTACAATAAAAAAAGCTGCAATATCCCATTTACGATTACCGAAAAGGAGATTAGAACAAAGAGATAATTGCGAAAAAAATTGCAAGGAATGTGCTAATAATGTGCTAATGCTAGCGGGGCGAAAAAATCTATTAAAAAAACGAGAAAACGAGATAAATGGTCCGAGTTCCTTTTTTGCTCTTTCTGATGGTGCCAAGAATTCATATGGAAACTCTGGTCTCTGCTTTTCACAGTGAAAAATACCGAAACTTTTTTCCATAGAAGAATGGGGGTATTACCAAAAAGCTTGGAACGGATCATGATTTACCCCGATCTTTGATTGATTGCGACACGAAAAAGCTGTCGATAACTGCACCACATCTGAACCAGAACAACCCGTGTCACTAGTGTAAAAATAAGCGATCATAAGGCACATCGAATAAGCGATCATAAGGCACATAGTGGGCCACAGGATAATCAATAAAAAATTTTGTCCATATCGATTTGAGCTTCGAATTGTACACGATAAACAACTCTTGTTTACTCACCGCATCCTCGACAGATTTGCCAGCTTCATCCTTTCCGTCACCGCTAGCATTTGCGAGCTCTCGAGCCTTCCTAGGGGCATCTCGAATCACACCGTTGACTGGGGTAGAAGAGTGAATCCCACGCTTTAGTAATATTCTGCTGCTTTCAGCAAGCATTACACATTTCAGACTCATCTTAATGCTGCAATATCCCATTTACGACCGCCAAAAAGAAGATTAGAACGAAGAGATAATTGCGAAAGAAAAAAGAATTGCAAAGAATGTGCTAATGCTAACGGAGCGAAAAAATCTATAAAAGTGACGAGGCATGTTTATCAGACGGGTGTTTTCGACCTTCTATTCAATGTCGGTACTATCAACACTGACGCTGAACCACGGAAAGCGGCCATTAATCTTCATTGCAGCGCTTTGTACACTTGAAATTGGAGACTGTAATGTACGAATACGAAATCATTATCAAAATACAACTGTTGTTTCTTTACGTACTGGACCTGACCTGAAACTGGCCACGAATATCCGCAAAAACCCTTCATGATTTCAAAGGGAGTTACCGTAACCGGAATGAGCATTTCCTGATTCGAGAAAAAGAATTCCAGGTTGTAATCAGCCGCGTCTCACTATTTATCTTGATGTACCACATTCGCATTCACCTTGCATGTATAAAATGCAAATCTTAACAAGCCTGCCGCCAACCCGCAATATTTTCTTGGATTTTTGCCCATTTAAGTTGCTACTAGAAACCTCTGAGCCCTACTAGTGCTAAAAACTCTGCATTATCCAGATCTGAAAAATCCTGACTAAAGATAACTATAGGTCACCTTGCTCTGGAATCAGAATGATATTCCTTTTGTGTGGCTACGGCTCACTTGCTCGCGAACAGTAACTGGTTCTTATGAGTACAGTCATAGAATTGGGCAGCAAACTTGCCCTAAGAGGTGTGAAGTTTCTGTGCATTGCGAGATTCATAAGAAAAGCATAGACTGTGACAGAAGCAGATTTTTGTGCAATCAAATAGCACTGTTGTTGAAAACTTGCCATCGTGCAATATGAAGTCACTGTAAGAAATCCCTTTAGGATATTCTGGAAATATTGAATCTGCATTACTACAAACTAGTCCCTGACACTGATTGAATAGTCCAGCTGGTGACAGAGATAGCTCCAAAAATCGCTATAGATTCAAATATTTACTGGTAAAAGTTATAATGAAGACACTGTAAACTTGCCTCTTAAGTGTAAATCATGATGGGAGATACATCGCACGCAGGGACAGGGCGCCATTGCGGACAAGTCGGCGTCTCTTGAATCAGCCGCACTCTCACCTATATTACCGTCTCTACCTCTCTTAAATATGTGACGCAAATGCGACAGTCTCTGCGTGCGCTGACGCTACAATGAACTTGGTAGGAGGAGAAAAAAAGGAACAATAAGCATAGGATGACCAAAAACTATGAGAATAGAAAAATTCGAAACGAGGCAATCTCTGTGCGGATGGGATTCCTGATACTAGCAGCTAACTACCCGCGTCGCCATCATACGGGAGGTCTTTCTCTATTTTAATCAGGGTCAAGCGTTTCGATGCGATCTGGGACCATCCTTTACCCCTCCCCCCTTTTTTTTAGAGACCACTTCTTCAATCACTGAATTGATAAACAACATTCTATAAGTTTATTGTAAAGAACCTTTGATAATATCGCTATTCGATTTTTCTAAACCCACGATTTTATTTTATCCCCCTCTTACGACTCCCCCCTCCCCAACTTAGGTACCCCCTTTAAGACCCCCCCCCTTGCGACAGTCGCATCACACGCTTGACCCTGATTCCGATTTGGTGTGACTAGATTCATGGTGCAACACTTGACCAACCGTTCCTTTGACGTTTTCGACCTATAAAATTCACAGCTGAAATTTCTACTAGTGGTAATGGGCACATTACCTTCTTCGTCTCCTTCTTGACATGATCCACCTTCTTCTGCATCTTTTCCAAAGAATTATCGTCTGTTTTGTGAGCCTACAAAAAAGTATTCGAGAATATGTATCAGAGTCCACTGCTGAGATACTCACATCTCCACTAGGGTATACCCTCTCGAGAGGATGTCCAGTATCCCCACCGGATTGTTCGAGCTAAAATTTACTTATTAGAAGATTGAATTAAAAAATTGTTTTTCACTCACTTTCTTATTGACTTTAGCGATTTTCTTTGCGTGTTTTTCGGCTTTCTCTGACTCCTCGGTTATCTAAATTATCGAGAAAGCGAGCGCAAGCATTGAGAACAAGCATGGAAATGTAAGAATATCCAAACCTCTTCATGTACATCCTCATCTGCCACATCCTTGAGACCCTTTTCTGGTTTTTTGCAGTACGTATTTCGCATTTCCATGCAGGCCATCGGCCCCATTCTTATCCGAACGGCATGAACGACTCGGAGGATCATTCTGATAAGTACAATCAACCATTTTTGTTTTACTGCCGTCTGCCACTCTTGGAAAAATCCAAATCTAATCAAACGATACTTTCTGGATAGAGAAGAGGAAGAACCTACGATACAATCAGAACTACGAATAGATGATAAGCTTACCGAAAATTTTTTTTACAAACAGTTGGGGAAGATTATACAAAAAGAGATTCGAGTGAAGAAAAAACGGTAAAAGTTAATAACATCAGCCGTTTACTTAATTAGAACTCGGTCAATAATTCTCTCCTTTGCAAAAACTAGATAATTATTGTTAGATCTCAGGCAACCTTAAAGCTTCCAAAGCTCCCAAAGATCGCTCGCCAACAACCCAGTAACCGCCTCGACGACACCAAAATGTGTTTTCAAAAGCAGCTCTCGCCTTCCTTAGTTTTTCACTTCCCTTCCAATTTTCTCATACCGATTACTCAGCATTATTCTCAAAGAAGCAGGTCGACGGCGTGTCAGAAAGTACATACAACGAACACTGAAGGTAATTGACTACGAATTCTCTTTATAATGACAAATCAAATTCCATTTCGAAAAACAAAGATTTCATATATTCCAATAAAGCTGTCATGCAGATGTCGAACGTCGATTTTATTTAAAAAACAGAATACTTAAATTTGCCGATTCTTCGTTCTACTTCTCTTCTCCATCAAAATCAGTCATTCCTACTGTTTCTTTCAATGTTAAATCAAAAGAAATCAAAAATCGGCAGACCGTGTACTTGCCAGCCGAAAATTTTCTGGGAAAATTTTTCTTTCGCATTTTCAAGCGCACTTGCATACAACATTAGAGAATAGCCCCTTAGAAACTAAACTCGAGGAATTGTCCCAGCATAGAACACACTAGGAACACAACTAACACACAACACACAAAATTGCATGAAGTAGTTGAAGGGAAGCACGTGGGAATCGAACCGAGTGGTCGATGATCGCAACCACTCCCCGATCGATAAGAGCGTCTAGTCGTATTCGCTTGCGTAAATAATCAACAGCGATTTTAGTAGTTCCCCCTTCCCCGCACAATAAAAGCCGGAAGAGGGTTTTGGAAACATTTTGGGCTCATTTTTTTCATCGTTGGAATTAGGATCTATTAGGTTGGCACGAAAGTTCTTGCGTAATTCAAACAAAATTCAGTAACTTTTTAAAGACTAAACCTAAGTTCAGAATCTTGAATGCTAAAAATATTAGAAGCCCTACGCTTCATGATGGAAGTTCAAGCACAACATTACATGATCTAGCCAGCCGAAGCTCTTAAATATGGGGCTTCAAATTTTGCGATTTTGAGTTTGGTGCCAGAAAATCGCAGAGTGCAGTTAGCTGGCCGAAAAAAATCTGTAGAATTTATTTACACAACAAAAGTCCATACCTTGTTTTAGCAAGCTTTGATCTCGCATGGAAATGCGAAAACAAAAAATTCGTGAAATTTCTCATTTCACAGGACAAATCCCCTTATCGCTCTAATTTTTCCACAGAAACACAGTTTACAACCAGAAATTAGACATAGTGCCCATTTAGAGCCCTGCGACGTATTTTTGATTGTAAAAAAGTGTTTTCGCCGGAAAACTGCGGACATGAGAGGTTTTTTCCGCAAAATGACGTATTTCAAGAATTTTTTGTTTTTGCTTCACCGTGCAAGATTAAAGCCTTCCAAAGTAACATATGGACTTTTGTTGTGTAAATAAATTCTACAAATTTTTTTCGGCTAGCTAGCTGCGCTCTGCGATTTTCTGGCACCAAACTTAAAATCGCAAAATTTGAAGCTCTATATTTGAGAGCTTCGTTCTCGATGGCTAGCCCATGAAATTGTTGTGCTTGAACTTCCATCATGAAGAGTAGGGCTTCTAATATTTTTAGCATGCAAGATTGTTAATTTATGTAGGTTAAGTCTTTGAAAAGTTATTGAATTTTGTTTGAATTAGGCAAGAACTTTCGTGCCAACCTAATATATTAGGTTGTCCTAAAAGTTCTTGCGCCGGATTTTCAAAAAATCATATCTTCCTTGCCACTCGATGGATTTTCTTGATTTTAATTTCATTTGAAAGAGGAAACCTTTCTTTTTACCAGAGTACCTCTGTTGCGAAGAGGCATGAGGAAGTTCCAAAGCTAAAAGCAGTTGAATAAAATCAGTCAAGATCGGCATTTTTCAAGCTGGATCACGAAAAATTCCGCAAGTATTTTTATTTGAAGGAGAAAATTTTGCACACTACAGTGGTGCCCTTTTCACGAATTAAAACGAAGTAGATCGAGAGTTAGAAGCAAGTAAAGAGAATATTTTCGGTTTTGCAATTTTTGAGCATGATCAAAAAAGCTTGAAAACGTCACAGAATAGGCGAAAAAGTGATAAACATGGGTTTTGTGATTTTCCCTTTCTAAATGAGCAAAAATCGTGCAAATCGGGAGCAATTTTGATTTTCGTGATTTATTCGGATTTTCGGGCCTCCTTTTTTCACGAAAATGAAAATTGCTCCCGATTGGAGCGATTTTCGCTCAGCTACAAAGGGAAGGTCACAAAACCCATGTTTATGATTTTTTCGCCTTTTCTGTGACGTTTTCAAACTTTTTTGAGCATGATCAAAAGTTGCAAAACTAAAGAAATTCTCTTTATTTCCTTCTAACTCTCGATCTACTTCGTTTTAATTCATGAAAAAGATACCACTGTAATGAGCAAAATTTTCTCTATCAAATAAAAATACTTTCAGAATTTTTCGTGATCCAGCTTGAAAAATGTCGATCTTGACTAATTTCCTTCAATTACTTTTAACTCTCGAACTTACCAACGCTGATTCATGGCAAAGGCACAGCTTTAAAGAAAAAGGTTTCCTCTTTCACACGAAAATAGTTTTGAGAAAAATCGTTGAGAAGAAAGGAAGTTATGATTTTTTGAAAATCCGGCGCAAGAACTTTTAGTACAACCTAATATTTGGTACATGTACAGTGACCACCAAAAAGTTGCGGACAAGCCTCCCTCCCAATTTCATCGCTCTATTTCAGAAGGAAAACAAGGATAAAAAAATGTAGTAATTGCTTGAGGTGATAGAGCTCTTCAAGATCTACAATCTACACTTTGCGTTTTTCGAAAAACATGTATTCTAAAAATTTTAAAAAACTTTTTCTAAAAAAGTCCGAAAATGGCCGCGTCACAATGTCGCGGACAATAATTCTTCGAACGCAAAAATTTTCTTTTGAGTCCTATTCTGAAGTGGAAACACAAGTAATCCAAACGGGTAAGCATACTACTATACAGAGCTCGTCAAGAACTACACACTGGTTATGGTTGCTTCCCAGAAAACACAAACTTGAATGTTATTTTGCTTCTTTTCAAAAAACAACTTCTAATTACCTGCTTCAGGCCAAACTTCTTCACATGGAAAACCATGCAAGACATTCAAACAAACCTATTCGGATAAAATGGATGCCCTTTGCCATCTTCTATGCATCGGACGTGTGCTGGTGAGTTTCTTCGCTGAAAATGGCTTCTGGCGGTGCGTGTACATGACCCCACCTGCACCTCACCACTGACTTGTACCGCTTTGCAGGCTTGTAACTCGGCTTGTAGTCAATATGTGAGCCTGCAATTAGGCTCATTCGAAAGAGCGAGATTTCCTCTACACGAAGGTATGCAAAAGAGATGGGTACAAGAAACAGCGGAGATTTGGCGGATGGGGTGGAAAAATGCGGCCTCAGTGGTAGGGTGAGGATATCCAGCTAAAGTTGAATAGAGCTTCTTTCGCTACCAGTTCAATCCTGGAAGCTTAAAACTGTCAATGTTCTTGTAATAGATCCATTTTGAAACTCTAGAACTGTTTTGGTGTTGATAAGAGCCTTAACTCCAACCACCACTGAGGCCGCGTTTTTCCACCCTATCCGCCAAATCTCCGCTGTTTCTTATACCCATCTCTTTTGCATACCTTCGTGTAGAGGAAATCTCGTTCTTTCGAATGAGCCTAATTGCAGGCTCACACATTGATTACAAGCCGAGTTACAAGCCTGCAAAGCGGTACAAGTCAGTGGTGAGGTGCAGGTGGGGTCATGTACACGCACCGCCAGAAGCCATTTTCAGCAAAGAAACTCACCAGCACACGTCCGATGCATAGAAGATGGCAAAGGGCATCTATTTTATCCGATTAGCTTTGTTTGAATGTCTTGCATGGTTTTCCATGTGATGAAATTGGCTTGAAGCAGGGAATTAGAAGTTGTTTTTTGAAAAGAAGCAAAACAAAATTCAAGCTTATGTTTTCTGGGAAGCAACCATAACCACTGTGTAGTTCTTGACGAGCTCTGTATAGTAGTATGCTTACCCGTTTGGATTACTTGTGTTTCCACTTCAGAATAGGACTCAAAAGAAAAATTTTGCGTTCGAAGAATTATTGTCCGCGACATTGTGACGCGGCCATTTTCGGACTTTTTTAGAAAAAGTTTTTTAAAATTTTTAGAATACATGTTTTTCGAAAAACGCAAAGTGTAGATTGTAGATCTTGAAGAGCTCTATCACCTCAAGCAATTACTACATTTTTTTATCCTTGTTTTCCTTCTGAAATAGAGCGATGAAATTGGGATGGAGACTTGTCCGCAACTTTTTGGCGGTCACTGTATGTATAGGGTTAAACCGAAAGTTAATTCGCACCATTTTCAAAAACGTAACTTCTTTCTCTCACGATACTCTTGCATGGCAAAAATTCTGTCGAGAAGAGCAAAGCGTATACTTTCTAAAACACCCTGCTGCTCTTTAGTAAGCTTTGTTTGCAGAGATAAAATTGGGAAAAGGGAATCACTTCAATTGCGGAATTTTGAGCAAGCCTGTTAAAAATTCCAAAACTATGTCTCAAAACACTCAAAACAGATGATAACCTAGATTTTTTGATCCCCTTTTTCTACCTGAGCAATCCCATCGAGCAAGCTCTTCTTCAAAAACTTATAATTTTCGAGAAAAAATGCCAAGACATTAGTTTCTTAATTAAGATAAGTGATTTTTTTCGAAAATCATAACTTTTCAAAGAAAAGCTCAATCAGCACGAATTCTGCTCCGCTAGAAAGAGGGGATCAAATAATCTAGGATACAGCCTGTTTTGAATTTTATGACACAGTTTTGGAATTTTTAACGGGCTTGCCGTAAAATTCCGAAACTGAAGTGATTTCCTTTTCCCAATTTTATCTCTACAACCAAAGCTTGTTAAAGAGCAAGCAAGGTGTTCTTAGAAAGTCTACGCTTTGCTCTTTCCATATCTTAAGAAAAAGAAGTTACGATTCTTCGAAAATGGTGCGAACTTTCGGACTTTTGCTTCAACCTAACATATCAAATTTTCATGAATTGCTCTAATTTTTACCGAAAATATTTTTTCCAAATTGTACAGCTAACACGTAAAAGCTCAGCAGTTCGATCCAAACATTCATAAAGTGTCGGCGAATGAGGACCAAATGTACAGACCATTTTTTCGTAGGTGGAAGGCATGTGTTGATGATTTCTGTATCATCAACCATTGATGAAATCGCAAAAGATTTGATCTCCTTGAAATTTGGGGAGAAAATTTAGGAGTTTTGTAATACCCAGAAATCAGAATTCCGTCTAAAAATCCTGCGATTTTCAGGTCAAACATATGCTATGCAAATCAGACATTCATTTGTACACTTCATATCATTTCATTTATTGCGTAGGGGATGACCCTATGATAACCAAAACAACGTAACAACACAAAAAAACAGACGAAAACAGAAACACAACAAAAATGCCATAGAATGCCAAAAATGCCAATGCCAAAGCGGAGTCACATATGATGTACGCCACCTATCTGGTACCTCGGTTTCATTATGCTCAAATCAAGCAGGAACTGGTAATTATATGCGCTATCAACTTTATGAAATCTAATGAGACCATATTAGACGTAATGGATCTCGACTTGGGTCAGACGACCAGCAGCTTATATATTTCCTCACTATAAAATCATGGTCCATCTTCCATCAAAGCATAAGGAGTACTGTGACTTCCATCAACGACACAATCCCTTTAAACGCCGTTTTCAAAGATATCGGCAAAACGTTCAGCTTTATTGAAGTCACTGCTATCAACGCCTCGTTACCGGACAAGAGTATCCTATCCTGCTCTTCTCTTTGAGTCTCGAACTAATAAGTTTGAAGAACGAGCTCTCATTTCCTCAGTCAATGGTTCTGCATTCCACAAATGCGTTGTACTTTCTCCATCTTTCGGCGAATATACCATTGATTCTGTTGAACTCATCCCAATTGCACACGTAACCACTATCAGCCACCCTATTCTACGCACGCTTCCCCTGTGGGATGTAGCACCGGAAGGTACCTTAACAAATTAGTTGCTGCCAGCGGGGTTTCAGTTAGGGACGAAAAGATCTATGGCATGATGCAGCATATGACAAAATAGTTCATATTTTGCATTGATAGAATCAACTGTGCTGCATGATCCGTAGTAATCCACCCCGGTTAAGTAATCAATAAGTTTACCCTGATCAACCTGTTTGAAATCTACGTAGCATGTATTCAGTTTGAACTGTGGGATTAGTGAGGAGTCCTAACATTCACCTCCCTAATCAAATCATTACTAGTTAAAATAAATCTCAAGGATATTGTGCCCTCAGTGTGCGGGAAAAAACTTCTTGAGATGAGCCATGCAAGCGACACATATCCAAGAAATACCTTGCAGGAGACCCATACGCAGATCCAACAGAATGGTTAGTCCAGTTGATTCCCGGAAAATTAAAGTCGCCCATAACGAAAACAGAGTTCCCCAGCGAGATGGGTAATGATTGACCATTTTCGTTTTGTAACTGATGCAGGAGGGAGCCCGATACAACAAATTAAGACGCACGGATTTTTGTCAATAGATATCAGTACAAAGAAGCTGATACCTATCTGATTCAGATTCACTAGACACCATAAGAAGCTAAGCTTATTGCTTATCATCAATGCAACTCCGCCTCCTCGTTTCCCCGCTCGGCCATGTATGTGCGCAGTTTGGTCCGGATCGGTTCCAAAGTAAATAATTTGTATTCGGAACATACGTACGGACACACACATATACACACAGAATCACATTGAGCGTTATATATAAGAGCATTAATCCGCACCCTGTGAGTCTTATCTATACAATTCGGTAGATCAATATATACTTCCGAGTACGATGATATGGTACACACAGTAAGAAGTGCGATTTATACAGCTGCGGACTTGTTCAGTCTCCTGTGATTTGCTCCAGTTTGTCGTTCACAATCTTTGCTTCCTTCGTCACAAACTCCTTCGCTTCTTTCGCCTTGAAAATTAGTTTCATATCGGGTTTTCACTTCCCAGATTAGTTTATAAAAATCCATCAGCATCTTTATGTTTGTAACACTCTCAACTAAATAACCCTGTTGCTTCCCAGCAGTCGGCTATGTTGGGTTATGGTGACTCTATATAGAATTCATCCGCACAGAATTTAAGTTCAATATATAGTCCTGAATCTCAAAGTCACATAGTGCTCAAAGTTGCTCTGTGGGAATTTGACACACTGACCGACATCGTACTCACCCAAATGATAAGGTCATTTGTTGGGGGCTGTGTTAGGGGGACTAGGGGAATTTGATATGCTGATCACGAACTCATGTTCACGAAAAAGGCTATGTTGCTAAGTTAGGTGAGACCCTATACCGCACAATTACAGTAGGCGCAAAACGCATGACCAGTGTTGAATAACTCCCAGAGACCAAGTCGAATCCGTAATACTGTAATTTGCGGCGGAATAATAACGTCCAACCAATTTTTTACATGCATATCTCATGGCTAGTGAAGACAGGAGTGCAACGTGCGAACTTTACCAAGCTAATTCACCTTCGAACAGCAGTCGGCAAAATTCAGTTAAGATGGACGATGCTGAGTGAAGGTGAAACCCTTCTGCCATACTTCAAGTAGATCGTTGCGATTCATCACTAGCCCATTTACCTTTTCAACCACCGTGTCCTTTGCTTCATCCAGCTTTTGGGCCACGGTATCAACGAGGCCATTTTCTTCACCCTAAAGACAAAAAATCATACAGTAAGTAAACATTAACATTAGAGAACTGACATTGTTGTTATGATCTGATGTTGACATTTGGGATGCAAGGGTTTTCAACGGGGCTGATAACTTCCTGATAGGGGTGGGAATTGCTTCAGCAGCCACATCCAATTTTTCGGCCATTGTATCCAGAATCGAGTCTTCATTCTTCTTAAAGCATGTTGCATTTGGTCGGTATACACAAACTATCTTTATCTGGTAAGTCAACCTTCTTATGTGCTGTTGACAGTTCAGATGCAAGTGCCTTGAATGGAGCTGATATCTTCCTGATTGGACCAGGAATGGTTGGTTTGTGCAGCTTCTCCTGCTGTGCCTCTTTTAGTTTGTGTGCTGAGGCTGCGAAATTTACGATTGCACCCTAGACTGCGAAGCTAGAAAAACAATGAAACAATTCTTGTGTGAATAGACTCACACTGCTCATAATTACTTGTTCTTTGTCGTTTTGGAGATATCTGAAAAATCTGATAAGGGAATTTCAGAAGAGAGAGAGTTGCAAAAAATGAGGGAAAACGATTAGAAGAGAAAGTATATGGAAGGCCTGATAGGAATGGAAATCTTCCAAAGTTTTCTTTCTAGCCGAACTATAGAAAAGAGTACCGTTCACCGAGAACGACTCTCGATGAAATGACACCAAATGGCCGAAGAATCTTAAATGTTCTAAGAACGACGTGCTCTCCATCAGATGACTTCATTCCCTTTGTTATGGCGATGTGGGTGAAGTTCATCGCCTGTATTATCAATCACTTGAAAGGTGGCAAACATTTCGACTTGCAATGTTCTCCCGCCTCACAATAATCGTTTTTTTTTTGCAAATTTGCAGGGACTTTCAATGTTGCTGTATGATGCAATACTTCCTGCAGCTGGGTGCTATGTCAGATACCCACGAAGATTACTATGAAATGCTTTGTAAATTGAGTTAAATTCTTCTGTTTCTCGTCTACCCTACAATCCTGATTCGTGACAAAATCAATATACTAATGGTCTTCATAGTTTCTTCCATTAGTATAAGTTCATGGCCTGCGATTTTTCTCTGAAGGCACATATTCGGCACCTGAAACGATAGCGCCTCTGACCGAGACCTGAGACATTATGGATCTCCACCGTTCGCCATTTTTTTCAGTGTTTAGAGGCATTACCAGTGCACAAGACCAGCCGGAAGACGTTTGCAGTTCGACGAGTAGAAACAAATGCGCATATTGGATTTTGCCAAAAATCACTGCCCATTTCCTGTGAACCACATCTGAAGCAAGGATGTACAACAGCATTTGGAGAATGTTGTAAGGATTTGGAGCGATATAAAAGTGAGGATTCAAACTGCAAAGCTTACATATTCCCGACACCATGTCGAAGCGATAATGACAGCATTTTATACCAAGCTTGCCCTATTCACGACGTTCGTGTTAGATCCTATCATCTCTAATGGAAAAAGCTAGGAATTCTTTTTTTGGAAGTGCGCGCTGCATAGAACGCATGTGGGCATAATCCGTCCTGGGTGAAGTCATCGTCACTTGGCGTGTGACTGTTTATAGAGGAAGAGCTCTAGCAAATATGAAAAAAAGCATCTAAAAAAGTTACTTTAGTGAGAAACATCTCGCATATTTCTTTTGCAAAAAATGGCGGAAGAGTAAACATCAAGATAGCGATCCGTAGCTTGTTGAGCGTGCTGCACAAGCTGTTTACGAGAATCATCGTGTCGCGTCGCTCATCTTAAGAAGATAGGAATATGCATAACCGTCAGAGCAAGGCAGATTTCTCAAAAATTCGGCTGCATCGATTGCATTCATACTATTCAAGAATCATAGAGGCTATATACAGCCATCGATAAAATCATTTCCTGACAGCAAATTTTAGGCTGAGAAAGCAAAGACAGAATCCAGGTCTTATTCCCATTCTTCCTATTGTGTAGGCAGAATTATTGTAGAGCTGCGCCTAATCGGAAGACCTGTGAGGTTGCGGTCTTGTTTAAGCAGTCGACAGAACTTCCTCAGTTTTCTTTCTCTTGCCAAACGATTTTTTTGCCATCAGCTGTTACCCTTTCGCTTAAACTAATTTTGGGATTTTTTTGCCATCACAGTGAGCCTTCAATAGCTCGAACTGATATCAAGAAGTGCGAGGTAATCCCGTTGATTTTAAGTGGGCTTTGAGTGGTCCAGCGTGATCAGTGCCCTCAGCCAACAGGACCTTCTACCGGCAAAGCTATAAAAAAATTGAAATTTGAAGAAGATCAATGATGCGTGGTCACAAATGATTCTAGATAAGACAAGAGGTTGATTGTTGGAGTTTCCCTTTAAAACCTTTCCTTTGAATCGAAAAGTAAAAGCCCTCCAGTCGAATCCACCTGGGTAGTAAATTTTCACGCTTTTCCGACCGCCAGTAGTCGTACATATTAATATCAAAGAAATTAAGCAAGTAAGGCTATTTGCATCTGAAATCTCAATTGATTTAGACTTGCTTCTGAGAGTATGTGAACAATTTCCTTTTTCTCAAGATCCTCCTCAAATTCAAGAAATATGTCATCACTGCATAAAATCCATACTCTTTACCTTGCATAGCAAAATACTAGTTTGCTGCATTGGTTCTGTTCGTTTTTTGTTGCCTTGTGTTCAAAGCAGCTATTTTATGAGATTATCCTGTCTAATACATAATGTTTGCATTATGAAGAAATGTTTTTTTTTGCTTTGACGCATGTCGAATTCTAAACAATTCCGCGTTTATCATATGCACATAATCAGCTAGCATTTATATAGGTTCACTCTCATGAACAAATTGTCTTGCTTATAGAATCTGATGTCGAAAACTAATCCTTCATAGTGATGTGCGACAGTCAACGACATTCTGTACATCGAGGCAACCGATGAGTCAAATTCTAGGCGTTAAAGTAAAGCAAGAACTAAAGAATATCCAACAAGTACTCTCCACCGCTCGCTGCAGATGTAAAAAATGTTTGAATTGAAAATGGGAATAAAGCTTGTATTGAAGCGAGGTCAGAAAGCGCTATTTATTCGCGCAGGAGGATTTGATGGCTAATCTGACTGTGGTTCCTATAAGTGGACATCAACATGTCAAAAAGTTAGGTATCAAAAACTTACGAGATTTTTGAAATCTTGCTTTTTCCTCCGTAGTGTTTTTCGTAAATTCTAGTGATCGTCTGGCGAAAGCTACATTTCATAGAAGTTAAATTTGTCGAAAAAAAGTTGACTTTGTAAGAAGTTATCATATTCTGTATTTGGAAACTGCAGAACGTCAGACCTGCAAGCAAATTAGTATAAATCTTGCTATTCCTGAGGGAATCTCAGAAATTTTCTTGAATGGTTTTGACTTTAGTACCATGTACCGCTAGATAAGAATGCCACAATTTGCACTTTTCAACTTTTTTTCTGAGAGGGGACAAGCCAAGGCAGAGGCAGGGGTTCAAGGCGTTCAGTGACAGTCTTCAACTGATAGATATTTGCAAGTTATGTGAAAGATGATCTATCAAGACCTATTTGTTCTTTCTAAATGTGCCGTGCATATTTTGGTGTCAGGGAAATGCTTCCATGCAGATGTTTGCAATGCTAAGTTCCTCGCCTTTCCTGAGTCCGAAGGCTTCGCCCATCAGCTAGGGAAACGATTTATTGATAATTTCAAAAAAAGGTGCCCAGGTTTGTGCAGACGAGCACCGGGCAAATGAAAGTGGGTGGCTAAGGGTAACTCCCTCAATTCGGTGATGCGTCTATCAAGCTGTCCTTTCAGGCAAGTTCGTTCTTGCTGAAGCAATCTTCCTAAATTTCGTCGATGCGAGGGAGCAGTTGTCCACCCCTCCCCCCTAATAAATGGCGTTACCTTCAATTTGCCTGCGATATTATCGTGAGACGGAGAGGCCGCAGCAGCATTGCATATTTGCTTAAGAATTTCTCACAATCAGTGTTGAAATCTAGGACGATAAACTTATCCAATGATCCATATTTTACCACTTTTTCCTTGATTGCGGAATTTGACACAGAGAGATTTGTCGCCCACTTTGAAAAAGGTAACATTCCGGTACGAACACAATCTTGGAACTCAGTGGATGTTCAGATTACAACAGAATACTGCGAAATATCCCTCTGAAGCTGAGATGAAAAAAAGTTTGACCATCACTCCACCTATTTAGCATTACTATTATATTAAGTGAAAATAATTTCGTTTTTATGTAAATCTCAATAAAATTTGTCTTGTTGCCTTTATCTATGAATATCCAAAGGGAAGTACTCCAATTGTACTATCATATATCAAACACTCAAAATTTTTTGTTACCATAGAGGACGGTTATGCCCCAATATGGCCAAATTTCGCTGTGATGTAGATAGAAATGAGTAGTTTGGTATATGGGTACAACTAAGGTTTCCCTATTCAGCGAAGGCAATAAAATTCGTGATCTGCCATTTTGCAATTCCCTGATTAAAGAAAAAATTTTCCCATATTTTGCACAATGTGAAAATGGGGGTTTTCTACTTCTTCGCGCCTTTTTTATAAGGAAATAACATTAATTCAAACTATGCCCACATTCAAATTCTCATTCAAATGCTCTTTCCAGAAATACCAAACATTGGCCAAAAATTTGCTGCAGCATCTGTAGGAGCCGCAAAAGCAACCAAAATTATTCATTAGCCACAGTAATATTTTTGAGGAGAAAAAGTGAATTTGTAGTATCAAGCCGGGTATCATCATGTTAGCTGAAAAATCAAGAAAAATTTAGCAAATATGCATATTTGGGAATTTTTACTTGACATCTTGAATTAGATCCCCTCCCGAAAAGTTGCTGTACAATTTCCTTTCCATCGAATCTATCCCATTATACGAGACAGTTGCTAACAGCTATCGAAACACGAAGTCCTCTCTCATCCTACATCACAAGTGCAATATCGTGTTATTTTCACTGATTTTGTGTTAATAATGCCTTTTGTGTAAGTCCGTATAGTGCTAGATCGGAACGCAGCATTTTGCACAGTTAACCTTTTGTTTTGAGGGAAGGCAACTATTTTGAGCAAAGTTCCTGGGTTTAAACATCAATCACTGGCACTCCTCCAACTCAATAACATTTGTGAGATCACGTCGAGGTGAAATGAATACCAAAGGTGAGCCTTGATTGGAAACGAACATCTGCTGATTCCGTTTTGAATGTTGGAGATGCCTTCAGAAATTTTCAAAGTCAAAGATCTGAAACTTCTATTGTGCTAAAATTTCCGCTTAACATCGGCTTACTCCGCTTGAATCTTCATCTTTAGAGATCAGCTGGGATGAGGAATCATTTATTGAAAATTTGCTCCCAAAATATAATTATTCCAATTCATGACCAAGAACATTCATAGCAAGTAAAGGCGGTAGTAAAAGTATATATAGAAATTTGGTAAACTAGCCTCCGATTTCCTAAGATTTGTGGACACTACTCTCAAGATTTGAGTTTACACTCAGTCTCAACTTGGAAATACCGAGAATCAGAGACTTGACATTGGTTAAGGTAACTACTGTTAATCTTACATACATATGTACACATTGCACTGTTTAGACGTTATATGTACACTAGAATAAATCTAAGAGTATATGTTCGACTACATAAATATAGTACATATGTACGGTACAGTAAGAACTGCGATATGTACGATGTGAGAAATGAAGTGGAGTTTTTCAATCTCCTGCGATTCGTTCCAATTTCTCATTTACAACCTTCGCTTCCCTTGCCACAAAGTCCTTCGCTTCTTTCGCCTAAAAATGATAGATTGACGAGATTTCCAACGATTACTTCAAATCGTTGAGTCCCAAAAATTGATGACGGCTTCTTTTTGATTGTTAGTACAAGCATTGCATTATAGAACGGAAATAAAAACGCAATGAAAATGCCGAACTAAGGAAAGTCGACGCGTGTTTCGCGAACTCGAGACTTTTCTTCAATTTGTGATGAGAAAAGTAGTAAAGCAGTTTTCACGTGTAGGAGTTTCCGTCTACGAATTCAAATTGCGGTTCAACCGCTGCGATCAAAGTACCCATCAACTGCTCAAACGAAAAGTGGCACTTCAAAAATCAGAGAGCAGATTTACATTCCTGGGTGTTGACGGGTCAGAGAGAAGAACTCAAAAACCGAACATGATATAGTTTGCGATGATTATCAAAACAACTGTCCGACGTCATCGGCAATCTCCTTCTTTTGGCTTTCAAAGTATTCGTCACATTTAGTTCAAATCTTATTCTGGTGTTGCTTACTCACTATTTTCTGATATGCCGTTCTGCTAATCTGACTAAGGAAACTAGACTTCAAGTACGTGTGAGAAAATTTGCTGAGGACCTTTTGTTGCACACTAAAAGCTTTCCATGCAAAAACTTTTCCATAGGCTTTAACTGGAGTCATGGCAAACTGAACTTACTTTTTCAGCAACTGTGTCCTTTGCTTCTTCCAACTTTTGAGCAACTGCATTCAAAAGACCATTTTCTTCGCCCTGAAAGTACGATATAGAGATCTCATAATATGCAAATATCAGCAGACATTGTTATTGGGATCTGATGGTGACAAGCCGGATGCAAATGTTTTCAAAGGTGCCGATAGCTTCCTGACGGGAGTGGGTATGGCTTCGGTGGGAATATCCAACTTTTCAGCCACAGTATCCAGAACCGAGTCTTCCTTTTTCTAGAAAGCTTTTATCTTTGATTGCACAAATAATTTACGAATCATCACAAGTCAACAAACTAACCTTTTTATGGTCTGTTGATAACTCAGATGCTATCGCCTTGAGTGGTGCTGATATCTTCTCGATAGGACTGTGAAAGGATGATTTGCGCAATTTCTCTTGCTTTGCCTCTTTGAGCTTATTGGCAGTAACTGCGAAGTTTACGATTGCACCCTAAATCTCAAATATGAAAAAAGTGATGAGGCACTCTATGAGGCACTCACACAGCTCATGTTTGCTTTTTTGTCGTCTGAAAGTATAGTTTCTGGAAAATGTATGAAAAACTGCAGTAAAAAATAAGCGATACTACGAAAAAAGAAGCAGGTAACGATCAGGATGAATGAAAATGACGTATAGGAGAAATGCTTGTGTTCTGAGGCTCCTTTCGAGAATCGGAACTCTAGCCACCGCTGAACGAGGATGAGTCTCGATGAAATGACGCCAAATGCCCGAAGAAATTCTTAATCATAATGTCCTCAGGAAGACATGCCCTCTCTCAGCCGACTTCATTTCCTTTGTGTTGCCATTTTGGTGAAGTTCATTGTCATTCATTTCCATTACATCACTCGAAAAGTGGCAAGTATTTCGAGCAAGTGATGTTCTCCCTCCCCCCCCCCCCTGAACTTCGTTTTTTGCGATATTGCAAAAACATTCTATGGTGCTGCATAAGGCCGCATTTTCTGCGAATGTGCGCTGCGTCAGATGCTCATGGAGATTAAGTGAGAGGAGTACTTTGTGAAAATACGATAAACATTTTTTCTATTTAACCTCGTCTTTTCTAGAATACGATTGATTTGCGACAAAATATACTAATCACCTTCAAGCCTTAAGTGACGACAAGTTCATCTTTTCCATTTTCTCTCTCTAGAAGCATACTTGGTGCATGACACAAAAAGTCGCTGGTTATCGAAGCCCTGAGGCAATGTCGGTCTTGACTGCAAAGTCCCTAAAGTTTAGAGGCGATTTGGTCCTGTCACACTATACTTGAGATCTTGCTTTTGTCGACTTTTTTCCGCTCCTCCCGTTGAGCCAGATACTTTTCTGTAGCATTTGACCGGGGACTGCATGGCAAACACAATAATGACCACTATAAGTCAATGGAATATCTGCATGTGTACGGACGCACTTTTCCTACCAAAAAAACTTCGTCGTGTTTAGCATATTTCTGGCAACGTTTCTTGACGTTCTTATACCTTCCTTGCGAATCAATCTCAGAAAAATCAATGAAGCCAAAAAGGCGTTTTTGACCAGCATTCATTGGACCCTATGAGTTCGAATAGGCATTAAGAGAAGTGGTTGGTCAAGAAAGGAGTCTTAGGAGTTTGAGGAATGAACGGGAACCTCGGTGCCCAGTCAACACCTTTTTTGAGAGCGAAAGGTATTTAGACCATTATCATACTACTCGACTCTAACTGCACAATCACATCTTAGCAATTTATAGAGTACAAGATCAGCAGGATTACAATTTGAGTTCATCACCTTTTTAAAGTGACCGACTGTAAATAGCCATGTTTCCAGAGTTTTCCAACGATCTACCAAAATCCCTTGTAGCGATAATTAACCCATTTTTTTCAAAAGCGTTTTCACATGTGAATTTTATAGCCCAATAAACTTCCCCTGAATGACTGCAAGTTTGATTCTCAGAAACTAGCAGACTTCCGCTACATACAATATGTAGCGATCTCTTTCAGCTCTCTGACATTCCCTCAAAATATGGGACCAAGGTAAAGGGCGTAGAATGCAACCCAAAATGATGTAATAGTATGACTTGTAAAGCATCGTAACTTACGAAACATCGTCACCTCATTTCCTATCAATATCAACAAAACAAAAGAGAGCAATCACCTGAATTTTTATGATATGCTCAGGAAACTTTCTCCGATTATCAGAAGACTTCGTTCATGCATTGCAAACAAAAGAGAATTTTTTGAACGAAGGATGCTAGATTATGTGTGCAGTGAGTAGATCTCGTTTTTCAGCAATAGTGAGTAAATTGCCTTGAGAAAGACATCTGGAATAACGCTAGCTGGAGAGTCGGCAGATGGAATTGAAAGGAGCTCTAGAAATTGAGTGAAAAATATGTATAGTATTCGTTGCAAAGCAATTTTTTCCCAAATAATGGAGGCGTCATTTTCCATTGTTTTGAGTTTTAGAGTTTTTGGGGAACCAAACCTCAGAGTTCTCGAATTTAGTTGTTTATAGGCAAAATTTATAATTAGCTCGAAGCAAAGCATATGACACAGTGTCTTATCTCCATTCTCGTCTACTGAAATGTTGAAATTCTCAGTATCAACAGAATTTCGAGGAATCAGTGAGTGCATAAAAACAAGAAGAAACTACCTCAGATGAAATGACAAGAGGTTGATGACGGTATAATTTTTCACCTCGACCCCCAAAACGGCGGAGGGAAAAATGCCTTGATTTCGACGGTGTGATAAGTTCTACATATTCTTTCTGAGCAACCCGATAATCACGTTAATTGCTGAGAGAAAGAGCAAATGCGAAGTTATAGCCGCATTTGATGATCTCAATCGAATTGTTTCCAGCTGTTCCCGACGGGTTTTGAGAATTCGCTGGCAGTCTTCTCTTGAAAATTGTAATTTTCGTTATAAGAGGACGTTACCATTGTATGAAAACTATACCTATTTTCATTTCCACAGTATTCCAAGCACAATACCATTTTATTCCTCAAGAGGAAGAATTTTGCACTCTGTATTGTGCTATCAAAGTTCTGTATTCTCCACAGTTGCGCTTTTATTTTTGAGAGAAGAGAACACGTTCTTAGAAAAGAGAATTCCGGTTCTTACCATTCACTGACAGTATACAGCTGAGAAACATTCGCAATTAGTCTCATGTGAAAAATGAACTATCAAGACCAATCTGTCTTGGTTGACTGCACCCTGCAAAAATTCGTCTTGATTGCAGAGAAGATGCGGTCGTGCAAGTTCATGCAATTTTTTAGTTTCCCCTTGTTGTGTTTATTCCCCATTGCTCACGGCTTCAAACCTTCCACCACAACAGCTGCAAGAAAATGGTTGATTTACAGCTTGAATCTAAATGAAGGATATAGCGTATATACACACATTTTTCAAAGTCTCAAGTTCGCTAAACATCAAAATACGACTGGCATTGGGTAAGGCATCACTACTACAGTCAGTATTATTTGGTTGATGCAAAAATAATGAGCGTTTTCCTAGGGCTTTCTTTAAGACAACTTTTCTCCATCGAACTTCTTTCTTTGTAATGGTTTCAGCACATTGTTAGAAAGCTCTTTTCATGCTCTATCTAAAGGTGTTTGAAGGAGACTTCTACCCCACTCTGTTAAGAATTCATAGCGCTTTGAATAATCGCACTCGAAACCAAATTTTCGTTGCATTCATTATTCTGGCCAGAATTTGAGCGCGAATGAAGATGTATCGAATTTAGCTATTATATGTAATGGAAATTGTCTACATTATGCATATTCAAACATATTTTTCAAAGTTACTAAAGTGAGATATCGGCGGCTTAACATGGGTAATGGTTGTGGTCATTTTAGAGCCCATAACTTTCTTTTGTAAGATGCAGTCGCTCAAACTTTGCTCATCTCTGTAAGCGTGAGGGTAGGAGTCTTAATAGCAGTTTTTGCAAAAACATCTAGCTATTCAGTACGTAGAAAATTAGAAAATTCTACACTTCGGGGTTTTAAGGCCTACTAAAAAAATGCTGAAAAAGTTGATATTTTTGAATTTCGATTTTTCCCTATTCGCTAATCTTTTTTCTCCAAATTGTTTCCATGTATATTTGTACTAATGGCTTGCGGCTACAAGATAGGCTGCTTATAAATCATAAAAACAAAGCGTGAAAGGAGTTATGTTTTGTCAAACAATATTCAAAAAAAAAACTTTTTTTGTTTTTCAATCCATATTTTTCTGCCCACGTAAGATATGAGTATAGTTCAATGTGCGCTGTACTGCGAAAGGTTCGCTGCATCTGATGGTCTTTATCACATTTCAAAATGTAGATTTTGTAGAAAGTTGTAGCAAGTTAAAGAGAAAAATGGGAAAACGCTAATTATTTTTGCATCAACCTAATATATACGAAAATTGCACTCTTTGGGCCTTACATGTGCACTTCAATAGGTTTAAAGACACTAGCTAGTACAACTACGATATACTATGATATACGATATACGGCGAGAAGTGCGATTCATACAAAGTGCGAAGAGAGGCTGCACATTTCTTCAATCTCGTGTGATTTGCTCCAACTTCTCGTTCACAAAATTTGCTTCTTTCGATATAAAGTCTTTTGCTTCTTTCGCCTACATAAAATCTCTGGTTTTCATTGCGCACATATGGTTCGTGAAGATCCACGGGCATTTCGATATGAAATGCTGTGAAGCAATATCGGCCTATTGCGATAGAGGGATTTTCATTTGGAGGAAGTGTTACAATTACTCTTTGAAAAGAAAAGTTTTCATTAACGAGGGAAGGTTCCTCCGCCAAAGTAGGATTTCCAGACATGATGCACTCATTCTGCTAGTCTTGAGGCACTAATACTAAATATGTATTCTTAGCTGCTCAATGATATTAGGGGAAAAAGTATGAGCGATGCTTTCCGCCGAGACGACCACGGCTTGCTATAAGGTAACGGCATCGAGCAGTGTTCAGGTGTGGATTGATGGCCGAGTGGGTAGCTGAGGAGACTATGTAGTAGGTGGTTGAGGGCCGCATCCTCCTATGTTCACAACGTTTTTGCATTTTTGCAAATTTTTGATATGAATTTTTGAAAGGTCCTTAAGACAAGAAAACGCTTATAATAGCACACAGCAGACTATATTAGGATGTTTTTTTGTTGATTTTGTATTGAATCATTTATAGACATGTGTGGTAGTTCGTCACAAAATGCTCAAAACATAAAAAAAACTTCTTAAGCACATCCAATGAGAAACGTCTGATGGTCTCTGAATTCACAATACTCTAACAAACTAGACGAAATAGGAACTTAGGAACATTAGGAACTTTGGGGACCCTCTAGGGTAGGTGCCAGAGTAAGCGAATATTTTGTTCAAGTTGGGGTCCCGCGCAGAATGGACGTCACTCACCATGCTGGCGTCAATCCAAGTGACGTCAATTCTGCGCGGGACCCCAACCTGAACAAAATATTCGCTTACTCTGGCACCTACCTAGGGATACACATTATACTGCAAAAAGGCAAAATCTGGCAGTATAGGGATCTAACTCTTGACCACCTG